TTGGAAATCCTATTACTTCAGGATGTGTGACATTAAGTAATGATCTACGTGAGAACTAGGCACCAATAACGCATGGTATGTAAAGCACGCGATTATACTAAGTGGATAAGCAAATTAAAATCCTTGTCTCTGACTGGTCAGAGACCCAAAACCCCCCCAAAATAGGTCTGAAATTTGCTTTCCAGCCATGTTAGAGAATGTTTTCAGTTCCAGTCTTATTTTCATTGTTTCTGCCAATAAAATGTCTCCTTCTGATGCGGGGAACTGGTACTATTACAAGTAACAAGTACTCTTAATAGTAACAAGGACAAACCTCTTCATGAACTATGCAAAGCCAGGTGTTTACGATGACATACTCCCTTCATTTGCTACCCTAGCACAAGTTTTTCAAACAATTCCTCTCACTTCTGTGCCTTGTGAAAGAGGGTTTTCTGCACAAAATCGAATTCATGGGGCTTTGAGAAATAAAATGTCCCCAAGTGCAGATGAATGTAAGATGTACATTTCTTATGCATCCAAAAATCATGTAGATGAGGAAAATGTTTGTGATAGAGCGGTAAAGAAATTCTACGAAATGAAGAAAAGAAGAAAGTAAAACTGTAGAATGACACTTTACTCTGACTTGATATGTATGTCACAATTTTTTGGTTTAATATTACTACATAAATTATTAACTAAGACAAGGTGAATCTCACCAGTAAACTAATGCAAGAACTGCTGGTATTAAGAAACATGAGCACACTATATTCCAAAATTAAAGCTTTATTAATTACGTTAACCCCTGGGGGACGAACTACAGCCACAGCCGTAGAAAATTACATCACCTAGTTTTGTTGCTATTTAAAGCATGCCCGTGGGGAACTGAGGCTATTTATGCATTAAACCGCTGGATAATAAAATGAAGCTCATTTTCAGTGAAAAGAGCTCTTCGAAACATCGAAATACGAATTTTCCAGAATTTTTTACTCCAGTTGTTGCCGATATCACGTCTGCCATTTAAATATGGCGTCGCCAAAAAAATTGTAAGACATCTGTTAGCGAAAAAGATCGAAATGGCGGCTGCAGAGTCGATGGGATTAACTTTTGTGGACGAAGATGACTTGCCTGTAGCATTTCTACGAATCGCCCACGTGGATTCTGACAATGAAGCGCCTTCAATGTCGATAGCAGCGATGAAGAGGTAAATAGCGATGAAGAGGAAGGGGAAAGTCATGCAGAATTGAAAACAGCGATGAAGAGGAGCAAAACTACTCCAATATGAGATGGACATCTGCTATACAACCCCCAGAAAGCATAAATTTTCGAGAAGAGGTTGGTATGAGGGTAGAAATGGACAATGATAGTAATTGTTTGGATTGCTTCCAACTTCTGTTTACTCATGATGTTTATCAGCTGATTATTCGTGAGACCAAACGGTTTGAGCATCAAAAACGGCAGCTTGAGGACAATTCCCTGGGTGATCTCTACGATTTTACCCTTCCAGAGCTAAAGGCTTGGCTTGGGCTCACATTGGCAATGGGTCTTGTCAAAAAAAGCAATTTGAAAGCTTACTGGTCAACTGATTCGGTCACCAAAACTCCACTGTTTTCTAGCACTATATCAAGAGACCGCTACCTTCACATCATGAGATATCTCCGCTTTGTAAATAATTGCAATGTCCCAAACCAGACAGATCCCAACAGGGATAAACTGTGGAAAATTAGACCATTCTGAGATGCTCTTGTGCCCAAATTTACAGCTGTATATGCGCCTTCTCAGAATTTATCTCTTGATGAGACACTGATCAAATTCAAGGGCTGTCTTCACTTCAGACAATTTTTGCCTTTAAAGAGAAGCAGATTTGGAATCAAAGGTCTTGTTATAGCAGATTCAGCATCTGGCTGTGTACTTGGTACTTCTATTTACACTGGAAAAGAGGGTCCAGCAGCAAGCAAGGATTTGGCTCAGCGAGTTGTTCTAAAGCTAACCGAGCCTTATTTCAACAAAGGTTAAAAATTGTTTGTTGACAACTGCTATACCAATGTACCTCTCTTTCTAGAACTGGAAAAAAAAGGAATTAGAGCCTGTGGAACAGTGAGGGGAAATAAAAAGTACCTACCTGAGGACATTGTTGACCAGCAATGCGAGCAGGTCAAAAGCCTTGTCAGGGGAGAATCGCTTTTCCGTCAAAGTGGCAACCTCATCTGTGTGACATGGAAGGACCGAAAGCTGGTACATTTACTCTCAACTCTCCCTGAGGGTTTGGGAATTGGACAGGTAGAGAGAAAGGTGAAGTCACGAGGACAATGGCAAAGGCAGAACATCGCACAGCCACAGTTGATTAACCTGTACAACTCCATATTGGAGGAGTTGATTTGGGTGATCTTGCCGAGGCGATTTCAGCCGTGTAGTATTGCGATGACTTCATCAAGAGCCATGGAAAAAACGAATGTTTCAAAGATATGCCACTGGTGAACTGGTTCTGATGGACGCCACGTACAAAATGACAAGGTACGCAATTCCGCTCTCTTTAGTTCGTGTACATACTAACGTGGGATATAAGGTTGTGGCTGAATTCATGTGCCAGTCAGAAGATCAAGCCTCTATAACTGAAGCACTTGCCATAATGAAGGGATGAAACCCAGCGAGGCATTAACGTACTTCATGGTGGATTATTCCGATCCAGAAATCACTGCCTTTGTAGAACAATTTCCCAACAGTTAGGTGTACATTTGCAATTTCCATAGATTACAAGCAATGCACTGTTGGGCAAAGTCAAAGAAGAATGGCCTTTCCTCTGATGAGCAAGAGATATTCTTAAAGCTTATGAAGAGCATCAACTATGCTAACAGAGTAGACAAATCTAAGAAGCGAATGAACGCTTTGAAAGAATGCCGGCTTTAAAAAGACAAAATGGATGTTCAGAACTATGAAAACAACACATGGCTATCTTGCAAGGTTTAATAAGAAACTCCTTGTTGACAAAACGTTCTATCATATTTCCGACGGCCACGCCTATTAAAAGCTCTATCACAAAAAAAAATGAAAAATTTGGTAGTTTTGCGCTTACTATGATTTTTGTTACAACTGGTTACCACCAGTTTATTAAACTTACATGTTTATTACATCACTGGACACCCAGTAGCCTTTGGTTGATTGGAAAATAGTGATAGAAAAAATAGCTCGCATGTGCATGTAGCTGACAGATACTTGAACAATGAAAGGTTAGTCCTAAGTGAGGTCCAGGTTTCATTGAGAAATTTCTTGGAAAATGGAGGATCACCTAAGAAGAGCATGTATAAGGCCTTCTCTGCAACTCTCAGGCTCATTCAGGAATCTCCAAAAGACAATCACAATAAGACTGGCGCATTGGTAGTAGGTAATCACATCATGCGGCTTGCAGAGTGCATTACAAAGGACTTACCCTGGACGACTATAAAACACCATTGCCTTTCTCTTTGTAAATAAATGTCCTTTTGATTTATCAAAACACACTGTATTTGGTAATTTCGAGTGTTTAGTTCATTCTATTTTATGGATAACTTGAACGTTTTGAGGTCGGTGTAAAACCATGAATTAAGCCCTTTTTTTATTATTATCATTATTTTTGTTGTTGTTGTTATCATGATTACTATTATTATCATTATCATTTGATAAGACAAGTCAAGCCTGCCCATTAACAAGAAAATGCAATATCACAAGGTAAAGCAAATCAAATATAAAATATATAAAGTTTGATCACTAGTACAGAAGGCAAAGCGTTTGCGAGTTGCTAAGAAAGCCTGACAAGTTCTTAAGAAAGCTGAGAAGAATGGAGCTTTCTATAAGAAACAATTTATGCAGTTGGCCAAAAAGGTTATCATCAAGGGCAAAAAAGGTAGACGCCCTGCTAAAAAGAAGTTTAATGATCATTCTAAGCATCACCAGAAGAGAATAAAAAACCCTTTGAAGGAGGAGTGCCAAACTACTCTGTCCTTTCATAGGCTCTACAATTTTATTGCCACAAAAATTGAAGTGCTTAACACGGATACTAATCAGCATGAAACTTTTAATCTTGTTGAAGAGGGAGAACTGAGTTTCAAAGTCTGATCCAAAGGAACTTACCAATGATGACCTTGATAATATAAACGTGGGGCTCTATCTAAAAGACAAGTTTAATATTTCACATGAGGCCCTGCATGAAATTGCCATCAAAGCCAATGATGTCCCCAACACCTAATCCACTAAGAAGCGAATTATTGAACTAAACAGCAAATGGGCCCTAAGACCAACTCAAGGGGATGCTGAGGGTTTCCAATTACGATTTGCAGAATCCTTGCAAGAACATATTGCGAGACTTCAGCAAAATGGAGAAATCAATGATGGAGAAACTATTAGGATAAAGCTTAGTGGTGATGGAACAAATATTGGAAAGAGGCTTACAGTTATCAACTTTACTTTCACCCTGCTCAATGAAAAGGAGGTGGCAATGGGCGAGAAGGGGAATTACGTACTCGCTGTTGTAAAAACTACAGAGACATATGATAATCTAAGAGAGAGCCTAGTAAACCTTCGGATGGAAATGTCAAACTTGACGGAAATAAGTGCAAATAACTGCACCTACAAGCTTGCATACTTCTTAGGTGGAGACTGGAAATTTTGAGCACTGGTCTGTAGTCTAGGAAGGGCAAATGCGGATTATGCCTGTGTGGTGCAAGTGTACCAGGGAGCAACGATGGAACAAAGCAAAAAGTGGTCAATTGGTGACCCTACATTTGGTACTAGGACTATTGAGGAAATAAAGTTTTCCACTGGAAAGAAATTCAACTGTAAAGTAAAACCACTATTTGATTTTATACCCATGGATCATGGATCATGTTATCATAGACACATTACATTTCTGTCTCAGGATTTCAGATGCTATTGAAAAGAAAAACATTCTCTGATGGATTCCCAATAGATAAGTAGAAACACATGAGAAGTTATGAAGAATTTATCGAAAGTAATAGAATCTCTTTTAACTTTAGAATCAACAAGGAGAGTAAGAAGCCAGAATATAGAGATCTCACTGAACCAGAAAAATTGAAACTCTTTCAGAATGTAAATATCCCTTTCCTTCTCCCTCAGTGCAGTCAAAACAAAGATATACAAGTCATCTCCCTAAGCGAGAGCATATTTCATCGATATTCTCCACAATTTAAGTTTAGCCGATATATTATTTCCTGAGAGGAAGAAGAAAAAGAGGTCTCCCTGTAAAAACCTTAGGATATATGAAGCAGAGCAGCTGATAGCAAGCTGGGAATACTTGGAGGTAAGAACTTTTACTTTTATCCAGTACGTGTCCAGATAAAATGAAGACTAATTAGGCATTGCTTTCATTAGGGAACAATATTCCTCATATAATGGAAAGGCTATAGTAGCTTTGAGAATACTTGGGAAGCAGAAGAAAACCGTTCCCCTTTGTTGTTGAGGTAATTCCTTTATTAATGAAAATTATTTATTATGGACTTTTTATCTCATTTGTCTTTCAGTTATTGCAAATATATAATTTAAGTCTGTTATATGCATTTGTAAATGCATTTGGTCAAAATCTATTAAAATTGGTGTAGTTTTTCAGAAACTTTGATTCTCCAAGACCTGAAGGGCACACTGTACAAAACAACGTCAACAGGATGAGACTTATGCTGTCTGAGGCTTGGAGGCTCTTAACCACAAGGGTCCCGAACAGAAAGTGTTTTAGAGTTTCGCATGATGTATTCAAGAATTTGTTTTCTGGGAGAGGAAAGGCAGCTGTAGAGTAGAACAGGATGCACTCAGAAAAGATTTACTTCGATGTAAGCTCTTAGAAGCAAAAGAAAGTACCTGTGGAACAAGCGAGAAATGCTGCTGCTGAAATCATTTATTGTTGAAGATTATGTTGTGAATGAACAGATTCCGCTGCCCACTGCCTTGGAGTTTTTGAGAAAATTGCTGTTGAATTCACAGAAAGCTCTTCCAATCAAAGCATAGATCCAAGAGGTAAATACCAGTAGGATACTGTCTTGTTTCCATGGAAAGTCTTGTAGAATTTGTAAGAAGGATTCAATCAAATTCACCATGTTCTTCTGATGAGATGATTCAGTATTTTTTTCGCAATTTCCATAGTATTCATCATAAGAGGTGCTTCTTTGTTAAGTTCCTTTTTATTTTTGTTGTCGCAGATCATGCAAATGGCCCCCAGAACTGTTTAAGGAAACGATGTGAATTGCCAAGTGGTCTATGCTGCCAGTGAAATAGGGAATAGCAGAGAAGATATCACTATTGATTAGATGCCCAATTCAGTTGGCAAAAGCATCAACTACTCTACAATTCAGTGAAGGAGCAACTGTAAAGCATGAGGTGACGCCAAGGCCTGAGCTAGCTGCTGGCGGCCATACCAGAAAGGAAAGCACCAGAAGAGACCCTATTGTACACCCAGTAACCTTTAGTTCATTAGAAAATAGCGATAAAAATGTGGCTCACATGTGCATGTAGCAGACAGATAGATTAACTTAAACAATGAAAGGTTAGTTCTAAGTAATATCCAGGTTTCAGTGTGGTGTTTCCTTGGAAAAATGGAGCGTCATTTAAGAAGGGCATATACGAGTCCTTCCCTGTGACTCTCAGACTCATTCAGGAATCTCCAAAAGACAATCACAATAAGACTGGTGCATTGGTGGTAGGTGTTCCCATTACAAGGCTTCCAAAGTGCAATATAAAGGACGTACCCTGGATGACTATAAAATAGCACAAAAATATCAAATATTTTAAGTTTGACCTTTCCTTGAAGCTTTCGTCAAAACATCTGGTAAAGAATATTGTCCTTAACACAGTCTTGTCAGAGTGGATTACCACATTCACATCCCTGAGATCATCATGTCAAGGCTACCAAAAGGAAAGAGTAACCCCATACATGCACATCATGGTGTACTACGTAATTAGGTTAACGATGCTCCACAAAGGGTTAAAGAAACTTTCAGGCCAAGCTAAATGACTTAAAAGTATAATTAGTAGGAAATCAAAACCATTTAACCCACCCATGTTTTCAGTGGTACTTCTCTACCATCATCTTGCACAGTGTGGTTAACAGACGACTGGAATCTCAAAGTTGCACAAATTTCGGAATATGCATTTTACTCACTGTTATGCTGATTAGCAAAACTGACTCATCGTACTCTAACTTATTACACAACTGGGCAAAACAATTTGCCAACAGTAATGTTGTATGATAGCCCAAAAATCAAACAAATGGGATGCATGTAAAGACGTGCTTCTAGTCCTCGAAAGAGAAGAATATTAAAATAATTTTGAAAAATCACCAGACAGCACAACAAAAGAAAAGCTACCCCCTGGGAAAATTACATCCACAAGAAGTGGGCAAAACAGTCATCCAATATACAGACAGAGAAAACATCCAACCTGTATGAGGCATGTGAGAGCAATCAAGTAGATATTGACAATATGAACCCCACTGATACTAGAGAAATAGAAGTAACAACTAATGCTAGAAACCTTAAAGAGCTCTAACAACATTTGAAGGATGTAATGCTAGCTTGTAGTACAACATGTTAAATCTGTAGAGCTCATCACACGACAAGTAGAGCAGACCAGTACCTATGTACCCAACAACTGGGAAAAGTTCAAAAACTACTTGACATCCCGTAACCTTTGGTTGGTTGGAAAATAGTGATAAAAATTAGCTCACATGTGCATGCAGCAGACATATACTTGAGCAATGAAAGGTTAGTCCTAAGTCAGGTCCAGGTTTCATTGACCTGATTTGAAGCATTTCAGGGAAAAATAGAGAATCAACTTAGAAGAGCACGTATGAGGCCTTCTCTCCAACTCTCAGGCTCATTCAGGAATTTCCAACGAGCAACCACAGTCAAACTGGTGCATCGGTAGTAGGTGTTCCTATTACATGGCTTGCAGAGAGCAATACGAGGACGTACCCTGGACAACTTTAAAATACCATTGCCAGACTCTTTGTCAAGAAATTTCCTTTTGATTTTAAATACACTGTTTTCGGTTATTTCTGTTGTTTGGTTTATTCTGTTTTATAAATACCTTGAACATTTAGAGGTCAGTTTAAAACCACTAATTAAGACCTTTTTTAATTGTTATCATTTTTGTTGTTTTTGTGATCATGATGATGACGATGATTGTTATTACTATTATTATCATTTCAATGAAACAGGTCAATACCTGCACATCAACAAAAAATTGCAATGCCACAAGGTAAACCAAATCAAACATAAAATATCAAATGTCAATATTTAAAGTTTGACCTTTCCTTGAAGCTTTAGCCAAAACACCTGGTAAAGAATATTGTCCTTATCGAAGTCTTTTCCTTCAAAGAACACTCCTTAGAAGCAGATTATGAAAAGTAGTAAAGTTTGAGAATGTGCAGATTTGTCAAATAATCACACTTGTAATCTGCAAATGTACAGTGGACTTGATACCATTGACAACAATGTCACAGAGCCTAAACTTGGTAACCACATTGTGTGAAGCTACAGCAACAATTCATCAGAAACATCTCCATTAATTTTGCATCTATTTTACACCTTCGTTGAGATGGGTAAAAAACGGTTTCATTCTTTTAAATACCCATTCCCTGATTGACATGTTAGTTTACCATAGCAACACTAGTGTCTCTTCATAGCAACACTGCAATCTCTAAGAATATACCTTCATTTTAGCTCTACATGTCTCTACCTCGAACACTGGTTTAGTGACCTCTGTTTTTCATTACTGACTTCAAATGGGGTTATCAAAGATTTACATTCAGCAAAGTTTGGCAAAAATCTGTACATACAGTCCACAGTCCCAATCCCATTCCTCCATTGCCACAGACTATTTCCAACGAGGATTGTACTTTTCACCCCTCTGTGCACTCACAACACCAATGATAGTGGTCATCTCTGCCAGTGACAGACAAACATATCGATATAACCATAAAAGACATGCAAGTATATTACAAAGCAGGATTCGCAAAACTACAACACTGCAGCAATGACATGAGCACTGGAAGGAAAGAGGAAATGAAGATAAAACAGACTGGAATACTGTGAGGCATCATGGAGATAGATAGAAGGTTATGACTAAGACAAAAAAAGCATCTCAATTCTCTCCTCAGCTGTGCATACTTTATGTAAAGCTCCCATTGGTTCATCAAAGTGATCATCAACAATATTATGGTAGTTTAATTAAGTATTTATCTCAGTACCATTTTTACCAAAAATACTAATTACTAGCTGTTTCTTACAATCATATGTAAGGTGCATTAATGCATTTTACACACCATGCATCCCATAATTCTTAATCAATATTACTTATGTAAGGTACAATTCAGAACCTTGTTGTAATAGTGATCCAACAAAACCACTACTTTTTTAAACAATAGTGCGTTGGGAAATAAGAGCATGGGACAAAAACCAGAAGAAAACAAGATCAAAACTTTCAAGAGTTACTCCTTCTTGGGAAAAAAATAACTAAACTGTAACCCAGCCAAGGGCACAGGAAAGCAGGTATTGGTAAAGATATCTCAAGGCAGTTCAACTGGTGAGCTGTTGCCTACCCACATGCTGGGCTTAAATAGGAAATCACATACTCACAGATAACTTTAAACATGCACTCATGATTAGCTAATAAAACCATTCAACTAAACGAGTGAAAGAGATTAAGGTGCCATCATTAAACAGCAAGATTGTGATTGCATCAAGAAAGGGAACAAGAGAGTGAAAGGAAAAGATTTGTGTTGCAACATCTATGTGGTATTCCCTAAAAAGAACCCTCTAAAGGCAAATGGTATAGTTCATGTTACCCAGAATTGAGTGACCTAAGGCAGTTTTATTGAACAAGAGCAATACCTCAAGGCTGAAAAAGATCTAAAAGCAAAGTGCAGTGGCAGATCTTCAACAAGCTCCTTGTAAAGACATGTGTCAGTTAGTAATATGCCATATTTGCCCAGCTACACTAGCAGCAAGGGGACTATCAATAATTGTTGGAAAGGACCACCGGTACTTGCACGCCATTCCCCCTCAACAAATTGCATGAGAAGCAAAAGCAGTACTTCCAATCAAGAAAAAATCCCACACAGGAACTTCAATATGCTATGTCATTATCCTCAATTTGCCAAAAAGCTATCCTCGGGCTCTAAGAGAAAATTCAAATTCACCTTTCTAATCCAAAGGCTAGTGAGGGTTTCAATTTCGTCAGAGAGATAGGCAACAGCGTGTATCCCTTTTGGACACTGTAAATGCTCAAAGGGCATGCCTTAGCCCTGAGAACGTAAACATTTTGATTTTCCTCAGCAACAATTTGTGGTATTGAATTTTACTGCATTCTGATAGCTTTAGGAAAGTCTGCATCAACTGGATATTTTTCATTTTCCAAGTGTTGTTCAGTTTCAATCAAATGCTCCTTTAGGAACCACCAAGTATATAAAAGTTCAATGACCAACATTTTACAGCTTGTCTTTAGTGTGTTTTAATATCTTTATGAAACTGACATGGCTTTCAGCTGGGTAAGAGATACCAGTAATGATTTATAATTTCTTAATGAGGCTTGGAGGGAAAAATCATCTAAAACACTCAGCTGGCAGTGGGGTAAATGGTATATGTTAGCAATGGTGATAAGTGATAAATGCCAGCAATGGTGATCTCTAGTCAACCCCCAAAAAACTGATGTACCACATGCTCTTCATATTTACTACCCACATTTCAATATGTCCAGTGGCTTCGAAATCTCCACCTTCATATGGAGAAAACAATTGTACCCCATGAAGCAGAAGTTCTGGACTCTCCTAGTTTATTACAATTTGCAGTGGAGAAATGATGCAGTCCACCCTGGAGAAGACCAATTCTAGGTGCTAATTGGACAGTATCAAAATATGACAGCTTTAATTATTAGATGACAGTTTTATATCCCAGCTGAACAAAAAGCCATCTGCCATCTGTAAAAGATTTTGATATTATCTATATGTAATATTTGTGTATATAAATGATATTTAAATGCATGCTTAGGGTGTCTTTCAATGGTTTATCCAAACAAGATAAAATCAAGATGTCAAGGGTTTACCAACAATGAAAACTGTTGAGTTAGCCTCTAGAAGTGCAAGAACAAACTACCTAATGTAACAACACAAGTAAAAAGATAGATGATATGCAAGAAAATAAACAAGTGTATTGATTTAATATAACAAACCATATGATGATATCGGGGCAAGTCTTCAACAGAATGATCAGTGGAAGATTTCTTATCGTAATAAGTACCAAAGTGCATAAATTTGCATACCGCTATCAAAATATATAAAGGTCTTATCAAACCACATTTTGACTACTGCAGTGTTGTTTGGGATGGCTTGTCTCAACAGCTGTGTGAGAAACTACAAAAACTACAAAATCGCGCTGCTAGAGTAATTATTAAATCAAGTTATAATATGAACTCTAGCTATCTTCTCAACTCTCTCAGCTGGGATAACTTATCAGTCAGGACGAAGCAAAAGACAAATTTAATGTACAAATGCGTTAATAAGCTCGCCTCAAATTATCTTTGTAACATGTTCACTCCGAGAACTCTGCCCTTTGATCTTCGTGACGCAAGTCAAAAATTGTACTTGCCGAAACCAAGAACTGACTACCTGAAGCATAGCTTCAGTTATAGCGGAGCTTCTCTTTGGAACGATCTTCATGAGGATATATGCACTACAAAATCTCTACGCAACTTCAAGAGAAGAATTGATAAATGGCTCTCTGTATCGGACTCCCACATGGCAAATATGTAAACCAGTTAATAGAAAATTTTACTTAAGATAAATTTCTTCTTTGTTTTCTATTGTCATACTGATATTTTTACCGTGTTTTAAATAAAGTTTTCATTCACAGATGAATTTATTTTTTTCTAAAAATGTGCTTTCAAATACAGAAAACGCATAATTACAACCTTACCTTTATTAAATGGTTTTGTTTTATGGTTTCATTTTAAAAGCTGGGGTGGGGGGTCTTTTTAAGGAAACCTTCCCAAGATTTTCATTAGTGAGTGATTAACTTACAACTTACAATCATGTCAATCACTGTTTTGATCTCTCCCCTGTGTTGTTAGACCAAATGACACATGACAGTATACATTTCTCTTTTCTATTGGTCAAAATAAAGAATTATCAAATAAAAGCCGTTTCTATCAGTCATTGATGGTGGAAGAGAAGAGAGTGCGATCAATCACTTTCAAATCAAGCGGTTTCTCAACTATTTACTCTGCCTAGAGCTACTGCACTTTGTTAATGAAGCTGACACATGATGATTAAGCTGCACTGTATGAGGACCTCAAAAAATATGGAAGGTTTACTGAACTTTGTTGGCTGCTCAGCCCTGAGCCTCTTAAAGTCAGCATGCTACCCATGCCTTCTATTGAGGAAATTAAGGTCTCTGAGGAATTTCCTCAGGCTAGAGGGATCCAACAACAGCTGGACTGTTTGATTCGCATAACTAAATAAGATGAAGATAAAATTTTGAGGATCAGCCACCAACAGTTAGCTTACGAGACAATCCTGCTTAGCACATCGCAAGAAAGGGTCAACTTACAACCAGTAATTGGGGCTCTGTCCTAAAGATAATTAGAATCACTCCATCCCCTCTGAAGCCACTCCTAGGAGAGTACAACTTATCAAGAGTCAAAACAGTGCAGTGGGGGGTGGAGAATGAAGAGAAAACTATCAAAGCATTCACCCTCAGAACTGGGAAGACCGTAAAAGAAACAGGCATATGGTTCCATTCCCCTTGGAATCCTTGGGACATCTCAGGATGGTGTTGATGATAAAATTGTTCTGGAAGTGAAGTGCCAATATACAGAAAGAAATGTTTCAATAGAAGAGGCTGTTAAGTCAGCAGCATCGTGGGAGTGGGCTAGGCTATGAACTTATGAAAGACCATATGCACCAAATACAGGGGGAAGATGTACCTCTCGCATAGAAAATTATGTATTTTTGTTGTATGGACCACAAAAGATGTTGCCATTGTAAAAATAGAAAAAGATGAAGCATGGGCAGCAAACATCCCACGCTCAACACAATCTCATTGAAATAATTGATTTGAAATTAACTGTGCAATGCCCCAAATATGATCAGAATATTGTTTCAAACTCCATTTCTTTTATCTTTATTTTTACAATAAATCATTATTAGGAAATCCTTGTGGTCAGTTGTTGTCTGGAATTGTTCTTACCAGATTGAGTTATGTTGAGAGGAAACAGTCTTGCCTAACCTGTAGATATATAACCCAAGGCAAGTAGATAACAGCTACTTTAGGAAGTATGGGAGTACAGCTCTAAGTAAAACCTGACGCAAATATGATAATATTTTAGGTAAAAAATAATAATAAGCTCAAACAAAAATGAAACAAAACAACTTAACACAATGAAGGCTGACCGCAAAATGCCTCATCCTACTAACAACCTAAACTTACAAACTATGATCCAATTACTCTTTATGCACCTTGCACCAGCCTCCAGCCTCCAATATGTATTGGCAAAATATAAATTTATGTTAATTATGTTTATTACATTTACATTTTCTATAGTAAATTGTACAAAAGAAAAAAAAGGAATTTCTAGAGTAAAAGCCACATTAAATCTCTCTTACATCTAACCAGGAAAAGTGTCTCATTTGACTTCAGTTTATGAAGGAAGACAAGATTTGCACACACCATTGCAGCAAACAAACAAACAACTCTCACAACTTCTACACATACATTTGAGTTTACTTTACAAAGACTTTCCTAGCCATTTCAAACTGAACAAAGGTAAATCTCTGAAGATTAACTGTCAATGGAGGTGAATAATACTTTCCATAAGACTATTGACCATTAGAATGGAGATAGTGATAGTCATTAACTCAAGTCTGTTTGCAAACTGTTGTTCATGCACTTTTTTTGGCTCTCTAATTGACAGGTGTCAGATTGTGACCTACATAAAAAGTGTTTTAAAGTTTGCATGGAACCCTTTTAATTGCGAAAAAAAAAAAGTTTCTGTGATGCCATTGTTTAATTCAAGTTACCTCTGTTTTACTGTCTATTTGTTAAAAAGTTGCTCAGTTCATGGAAAATCTTGCTGTAATTATAGCCCTAAATCATTCCCAATTTTTTCAGCCAGTATTTCATCCAGTTGAGGAAACAAATAAAAAAGTTCTTCACCAGCCTAGGTCCTATGTATTTCCAAAAACCATGACCTCTGTTTTGAGTACCGCCCTTGGCCAAAGGCCAAAAATTCACATACATATAAAGCAATTCACTTTGACTTACCTTAAGTTCTTTCAACACTTTTCCGGTTACACTGCGATTGTGAACTACCTCTCCACTTCTGGCGGCCTGACTTCCTGCCTTTTCTGGCTCTCCTCGCTTTCATACATTCTGTCACGAGGGCTTACAATCCGATACATCCTAAGAAGTTTAAAAATACCAAGAACCTTTCAGTGGAAATTAAGTGAAAATAACTGACTGCCAAACAATTTATTACATTCATGAAAGTCTATTCAAGACCGTAGCCGCCCACCGGGAATTTGGAAAATGCCATAAAAGTTTCAAGCGAAAGCACGCGCTATTTCGGCATCAAAATGGCGACTCAGGGACCATCTCTCTTGATCCGATTTCTAGTCTTGTCACAACAAGTACCAGGTTGAGATATACAAAGCTAAACATTTATAGTAACAGAAGGTGAAAAGACTAACCTTTAAATGTATAGAAGAAGCTGCTTCACAGTTCTGCTCTGCTTTACTCTGCCGATTGCGCATAGATTCAAGAATCTCAATCTCTGGGGGCCTGCGGAAGAAAAGTACTGGGGTCGAGGAACGAATCTGACAAGTGCACTAAGAGGTTTAAAGAATAATTAACGAATTGATTTTAGCGCAACGATAAATAAAATCAAGGGTACATTATTTAAACATAAAGAAAGACACAGAGGACTCACTGCTTTAACTCACAGTTCTGTATGAAACAGTATGAGACAAATTTAATTTAATTTGCATCATGAAAGCGAAAATACTAACACCTCTAGCTTATTGCTCCATGTAGGGAATCCATCAATCAGTGCGGCCCCAATTTATTGGCTGTATTTTCGTATCACTTTCTAACTGAACGACAATTCTGACGAAAATTAATGACAAGCCTTTAGCCCTTTGAGAAGCTTCCATCTGCAAGGCTCATCCAGCTTCTTGCCTGCATGTGAACTCTCCTGAAGGGGATAGTGATCCATCTTCATGCACTACTTCTTGTGGCCGAGACAATTAGCAACTTGGTGCGAAAGCGCAAGCTGCACCACCCAAGGGGAGGTGGGAGGGCCGAAAATTCCTTACAACATGGCGGCTTGAATATCAATTTTCGAAATGCTAAAAATCTAGGCAGCGGGATCATTAAATCTGGAGATATTGCATGTGAAACTTAGGATAATATTACGTAACTAGCTTCCAATGAACAGGGTTACGTTTCTACACCCGTCGGAATTCTGCGGCATATTTATTAATGAGGATGGAAGAGGACTCCTACTCAAAGTCCGACATCCTTGAAATCTCGACGCAGACTCAGCAGAAGAGACTCTGGTAAGCCACTTGTTCCCTAGTCTCCTTCACGCGTTACTTCACATCCAAAGAAATAGCTGCGAAGAGACTATATGTCCCTTTATTTGGAAATGGAGAAAGAAGAACGCGTTGCGTGATGAGACCAAAACACGGCTGACAACCACAGCCATACCTGGGGTGACTGTGACATGTTATGATGGTCTCGTGACTCATCTCTGGATTTACTTTCCTTGATATATAACTGCAAAGCATCTCTGGTTTGTTTCAGTGATATAAGACTATTTTCGGTAATTTCTAAAATCGATGATAGTCTCTGAATGGATAAACGGAAGCGTAACTTCTACCCCGAAAGTGAAATTGGGCTGATTTAATTCAGAGAAAAATTTATGAAGACGTTCATCTTCGTTCCGGCACAATGACAGCTACAGGTTCCAAGTACGAAATTCCGGAAGCAGTCGACGAAAACTTTTTGGCGACATTGGGCAAAGATGTCGAGATGCAGACATTTAAAACGAACCTTGCTCCCGAAAGTGAAAGTTCTACTAAACAAGACAAAGCAGTGGTACTGCTGTGTGTTGGAACTCTCACAGGAAAAGAAAATCTATTCGTGAACGAGCATTTCTGCCGCACGCCTCCTAAAGGGTCTCGTTTACCGACCGTATGCATGGATATCCATTTAAAGAAGATCAAATTGTCATCGGAAAATAAGGAACAATCATCGGCAGCCATTTACGAAATCGATCCTGAAGTTTACAAGGGATTCAATTTTGACTCTTGTCACGGAAGTATAGTGTTTTGGACGCCTGAATATCCGGCATCATTAGGAGAGGTCAAAAAATGGGTTAAATCAATTAACAAGCTTGCAAATTCGCGAGTTCCTTTCGTGCTTATAACGTTTAATTCGAACAATTTGGATTGGATAGGAAGTGGAAAGATGTTTGATAGCGTGACAACTCTGCAGCGGTTTTGTCGCGAGATGGGTTTCATTTCGTGGTACGAGATGAAAGCGCGTGACTGGGACGGGCAGGTTTTCGAGCAAGCCATAACTTGCTTGATGGATGAGATTAATTTGGTAGAATCTACTTGATGACTAGCAGATTCAGCACCCTAAATGATTTGCGAGGAATAGTAAAACTGGTCTTCTTTCCAGGATCAACATAACGTGGAACGAACCACAGAATTTTCATGTTAAAACTCAAGGGGGCTTTTCAATAGTCAGAACTGACCAAGTATTCATCTCATTCTTTCTTCCTTTCGTTACAATTCATTCATTATTGATCAGCATTACTTGAAAAAATCGATTTATTGTTAAAAGTTTAAAACTCACATTCATGAGTTGAATGTTACGACTGTCGGTTCTGGCTAATGACAAGCACCCTTAAACAATCGTGGTTTCAAATTTTCGATCTAGGAAGAGATAAAGTGTATTTTGAACTAGTGGTGTCAATAAAAATGTCATAACAATATTGAATTAGTACATTTGACAAAAATCATTTGGATTGAGGACACTTTAATACTACGAAAGTACTCAAAATTCAAATATTTACAAAAGTAAGAAAGAATTGAACGAAAAATTCCTTTTGATGTTGTGAAGTGGGTGCCCTAAGACTCATCTCCAACGAAGTGGTCAAGCAACATCAATTATGCCTTTTGCCCAAGGTTCTTATCTTGGATGGTCAACATGGTTCGTTAGTTTTTTTTTTTTTTAACTACAGCTGATGCAACAAACTTTAAATATTTCACTTTAGCGTGGTGGTGGTCGCATTCCAGGAGGTGGACCTAGTAGGAATACAAATACATATTAGTTAATGACTTTAACCATTTACATCCTAACATCAGTATGAAAATTCACCATACTATTTACCATACATTTCCTACTTGGCGCTGAAAAAGAGAATTTGTTTAGCAATCAAGGGCTTGTTTAGTTAGTGATTACTTCCTTCACACTTGTGACCTTGAGCTTGATTCAGGGATGATATTGAACAAGAAAATTTAAGGGTTAAGTTAAAATAAGTTAAGAAAAACTGGTGTTATACAAGTATGGGGCAAAAAAACCTTTATCTAAAATCCAAAAATACTTTTTATTGGAGAATTGTTCTGGTGAAGAACATTACAATTACTTAACACTATTCTACTTCTACTATTTCTCCATGAAAACTGTGTACACAATTACATACTGGATCACAATAAATCTTCTGGCTCAATCAGAATATTGGTGACCTAAAATACCTATAAATGTATCATGTAGAAAAACTTCATTACCAACAGTTGGTCAGTGAAGGGGACTGAGTGACTTATCTACCCACTAACTCTCAAAATTAACTCATCATTCTTCCTTCTGATGGTCATACAATTCTGCATGAGTATGTTAGGAGAATTGGGCAATTCATCAAAATAACACCCACCATCTGATAAGTTTGTCTATTTCAACAACATATTTGCTAATAAAGTACTCACAGTGTGAGGAGATGTTACATGTAGATTGCCTCTGAGAGTTTAAGCCGGGGAGAAAAAAAAGCACTACAACTATACTTATCAAAGTTGAGTTCCTTACCTCTACCCATAAGACCTGGTGGTGGCATTCTCCCTGGGGGTCCCCCTCTCATCCCTGGTGGCATCATGCCAGGGGGAGGCATACCAGGAGGCATCATGCCCCTTCCTGGAGGACCCATGTCTGGAGGCCGCATACCTGGAGGGGGACCTCTCATAGGCATTCCTGGAGGGCCTGGAAATCAAAGTAAGTAAGTAAATCAATAACAGGAATAAAATATTAGAACAAGATTTGGAATAATATACATACTTTGGAGGTGGACAACAACGGAATTTTCATTTGTAAAAAAATGACTGACTTTCTCCTTACTGTTATTCATTAGTAATTCTCCTTACAGTTCTTGTGATGTTAGCTTGAAGAATTTGGTATTGGATCAACTTATACTCCCCTTACTAATAGCGGAGCTTGCGTAGCCCCATAATTATACAAAATAGTAGTAACCTATCAAGCCAAAAACATTTGGATTTATGACCATACGACCATACAAGGTGCTACTTTTAACATGCATGGTCAACTGTACCGCGGGCACACCAACGCCACAGCTTTGTCCAGTGGTCAGTGCACTAGGCTCCGAGTTGGACAACTGGGGTTCTAGTCCTGGCCGAGGCAATGTGTTGAGACGTGCGGGGAAAAAAAATGCGAACTCCACTTTTAGGCTTGGCTAAATCTATATATTATTTTTTCATTCTCATCACTTGTCTGCTTGATACTGTATTGATATTGAAAGGAGAAATTCTGTTTTAGTCACTCATGGGAGTGAAAGGGTTAAGAGAAACAGGCCTAACGGCTTCTACCCAAAAGGAAACAAGAACATTTACTACTTAAGTTATTCCAGTTTTCCCCTACTTCTCCAATAATACATACCTCCTGGAGGCACTCCCCCCATAGGTGGTCTGGGTGGGGGTGGACCTCTCATTGGTGCTCCCATTGCCCCCCCTGGGGGACCAGGCATTGAACTGGGTACTGACGCTGGTGGGTTTTGTTGTGGTGGACCACCTGCAAAAATAGAGTGCAACAATTAATACAAGAAAGGAGCATTAAATCCAAATTTAAAATTACTTCAGTCAGACAATTAAGCCAGAGATAAAAAGAAACTGCAACATTGCTAAGATCAAGAACTATAGATAGGAAAGTTGAGAGCAATACTCGACTCTACTGTTCCTGTTTATGCATGCAATGCAGTTATGGCTAATTAAGATTCATTAATTCCTTCCAGACCCCATTTTTTTGTGAGCATTTACCCTGAAACTCTCCCTCACAAAATCCTGCTGAGAAAACTAGCTGCTTGACCTTGGTGTTGCTTCTTATCTTCTGGACTCTAAACCAGACTACCTGAACTGTACAAACTTCAAAATATAACACATACCACCAGGTGCTCCTCTTCCCTGTGGGGTCATAAGTTGAGCTGCTGGTCCACCCACTCCTCTCACAGGTCCAGCAAGTCCTGCAATGTAGAATAACCCTTTCAGTTGAAAATTCTTAACAACAGTTTTCCAAACAAGCTGTCAAACTACAGGGTGTGAAATTGCACCTAATACAGGTGCCAATGCAACTAAATTTTTCACTTTGGTGGCCAAATCTTGAAAATTAGTTGCCAAATTCAAAATTCATCATAACCTTACCTAGAGATATAGTGAATTAAAAAGATTTGCAAAGATGAATCCACAGCAAACTTCCTCATTAAGTTTGTTTCCAAAACGCAACACATGCATCTCGATTGATAACTAGACGCCACCTTGGATTTAAGGGAGCTTTAATGTTGCATATCGTCAATCCTAGTGTCCACTTTGTGACACATTAAAGATCTTTTCCCAAACTTAATTTTGGAGGATCTATCTAGAACGCTGACAGCTTAATAGAAGGTTTTTGTTTGTCTTTGAAAATGGTGACCAACTTTTTTTCACTTGGCTACCAGATGAAGAATTTAGGAGCCAAGTGGCTATCAGAAAAAAGATTAATTTCACGCCCTGAACTATCTTTTATTTTAGCACAGACTATATATTCTGATGGACATTTTCCTTTCTTTCTTTCCTCTTCACTTTTCTTTCAGCCCTGTGTGGTTGGAATATGAGAAAATTGCATGGTGCTAGCTCCTGAGGGTAACAAGACTATAATTATATTATAAAATTCAATGGGCACATCTCAACATCACTGAGTCTACTGTCCTGCTTAAGAAAGAGATTCAGAGAGAAAGACAGAAGGCAGATGATGCAGATCACTCTGTAACTCATCTGTGATCCCCTGCTCAACAACAACTTAATCAGAAAAAACACAAACCTGGTGGTGCAGCAATTGTTGGTGCTAAAGGAGCAGGCACTCCGCGTCCAGCTGCACGACCCATTCCGGTGCCAGGAGCAGCATTGGCCCCTAGCAGTTTGGATTTTGACTAAACAAACAGGAAAAAATATCTTCAGAGGTCAACAAGTGGTTGAAAGTTAAACATGATTTTGCAGAGACTTAATATACAACTCATTTAACCCTGTGTTAAGGTAAAAAACCCTTCCTGGTATCATTACAAAACCAGCAAGGTAACAAACAGAAGCCAAATTCACCAACATATTGAAACTAATGAATCACAGTTGACTTCCTCACTGTTCAGTTCATGAGTCAGAAAGTCAGTCAAAAAAAGATGATAAACTTGAGTTTAGTGGTTGATTACTAAATATGTTGCTTTTTTGGTAAAATTTCCACACAGCCCTAAAAACAAATCTGTTTTCCCTAAGGCAATCTATTGTTTTTATCATTCTTTTCTCTATCCAAGAACTTAATGCATAATATAGTATGGAGCTGTGCAGAAATTTTACCACTTTTTTGTCCTCTCTTTATTTAATACTTAAGCTCACTATTTCAAACAAAGAATGAAAAAATCTTGACATTGCATTTTCTTGTAATATGCAGGTGGGTTATTGTATATGAACCTGGTTTAAAGCCTTGTGTGCAATTCTCCAAACCCTAACTCAGTTCTCCCATCTGCTGGGTTTGGCAGATGCACATGTAATTTATTCCTTTCTAACCATACATCTCACATAGAAGAATCCCCTTTGCAGGCACAAGATCTTGTCAAGTTCTGCCATACTCAGCAGACTGGGCAATTCTAGAGGTGAATTCTTTGCATCACATCATCAATCACAAAATTAATTTAATCACCCTACTGCAAGTTAACATCAGTTATGGAATTGTGTTGTGTCCTAATATGAACTTTTCAAGATAACAAATCTTCTTTAACATTAATTTTTACTTAATCACATGAGGTAAATCAATAAACTCAACTTACATCTGATGATGGAGGTCCTTCGACTGTCAATGAAACAAGGTGCTCTCCTCGCAATAAAACCAAACCAAGAACTCTTTTTTCCTCGCGTTCCGGTGCTTTGCTGCTCTTAGGTTTTATTTTCCTAAATTCATCACAATCTCCTAAAATAATGTTCATATGCTTGTCAAAAGCTAAAAATGTCCCTATAAAACTGCGGCCATCTTGCAATGTGCACCGCATTCGGTAGTTGATATGCTGAAGCATCTTCGAACTCTTTCCCACCGTCTGAAGAAAAGATGTAAAAATAATGAGACCTAGCTACAAGAGGATCATGAAGGAGACTTAAAGAGTTATACATACCATTTTGGCGGTAAAGATGTTCGCGGTTTACGCAGATTGAAACTTGCAACCTTTCGAAGCTACAACTGCTAACAGAAACGTTCTTCAACGTTTTCCTCTTTCAGGCTTCCGCTGGTCAAGGTGAATTCGGCTCATAATCCGACCTTTCAATTTTCAAATGGCGGACGTTGAAGAAAAAGCTCCCTCAGAAATCGAGAAAAGAGAGGACGAAGTAGAGCTTGATGTGGGGAAATGTGCTGCAGAATTTGCGCAATATTGTCAAGTTGATGTAAAGAATGAGGTATCGTACCCACTGATGACTCAGTTTGTGAAATATTTGAAAGAGATAATTTCTGGTCTCCTAGAGATTGTGTGACAAGAGAGAATTTGGATCTTACCACATATGTATCGATCTATTTTTAGTCTAAAGTTATCGAGGAAACCATCGAGGATATGCTTGTTCGTTTGGACGAATTTTCTCATCTAGCTGACTCGGTAAGTGGTCTGAAAATGTTTGTTATTTTCCGTAAGCTTTCTTCTTAGGGGGTGCTCATTTGTCTGTGTAATATATTCACAGAATATTGTTTCTTCTGAGGCGCATGACTGATAAGGAATTAGAATGTGTTTCCATTTTTCTTTAACTGTATTTTTTCTTTTCTTGATCATCTTTCGGAGTAAAAAGTCCGATCTCAGAAGAAATCACGTTTTCAAAGGTTTTAACGGTTCAAAACTTCATGTCCTTTCATGTTTCGATGTTAATGGACTTTTTTCGTCCCACATGGTTGGTGCTTTTGAGTAGTGATATTTTGTTTAATTTACAATTCTTGCGATGACGTCCTTATCGGGGGCTGCTCGACTCTTCCATGATCGTTATGTGAGAATTGTCTTGCTGACACCCTTATGTACAACGCACACGCACGAGCTTGTTGAGTGATCGTGCAATTTTTGGAACCCTTCCTAATTGGGAAGGATTATTAAAGATACTTAAAGAAGACCTGTGGGTAATTAATGCAAAGGGAACTGCAGAAGGTTGCCCGCCAGTTGGTTGTTCTTAAACTCGGTGTATGTATGGAAAGTAGTTAGTTTCAGGGTTTCATTTGGTATCCATTACCAAAGCCCACACAGACATGTCCTTTTCTCATCTCCAAGTGACAGAAATTGGCACATCTTCATCAATAGTTATATGTAAATACGCTCATGTAAATTGCCAGTTCAAAACTTTCAAGCTTTCAACTCAAACTTGTCTTTTTATGTCAATTAACTAGGCAAGCAATTTTCCAGAAATTGTTGGTTAAGAAAATGTTTTGATGAGTGATTTGGTGCATCCTTGAAAAGACCTGTGTGATTTAGTTTTTATCATGAAATTGCTGACTCTTCCATTCAGGTTGTTGTACCAATTAAAAAAAGTTTCATGAACTGTTTTTTTCTCTTGTCCTATGATAATGATTTGATTTTTGTTTTTAATCATTTAACATTTACTTACAGCACTAGTACCTTTCTTTCTGCAATTACATTAAATTATAGCTTTAATTTGCTTTTTTATGACTTATTTGTACTGGACTCTATGTTGTAACATCCCTACATGCGATAATTTGTTTTTATTACTACACAAATATTTGGTTAACTTTACTTTTATTAGTGTCACTTATAAGAACTGTAGATGGCTTACATGCAATTAATGATATGATAGTTATTAAAAAAACTTATTTTAAGAAGATCTCTTTGTATTAATTTTTCTTTACATACAGATACGCAATGATTCCTCACAATCCTTGATAGAAATTATTCCACAACTTTATGAAAGATCTCAGGAACTTCCAACAATCTTCAGAAAGATTGATCAACTAGAGGTACAGACAACTTGCATCATATATGTAGAACTTTTGACCCTTTTACTCCTAAGATCTCATTAGTAATTCTCCTAACCATCTGCCATGCAATTCTTATGATGAAAGTTTGAAGAATTTGGTATTGGATCAATCAGCTATTAATCCCTCAATTTATATTTGTCTTCATTCTCATCACTTTTCTCAGTATTGCATTACTTATGAAATTCTGTCTTGGTCACTTATGGGAGTTAAAGATTTAACCTTCCTTATGGTGCTGTTGTGAAGAGTAATATTTTGAAAAATATCAATTAAAATATTTTTCCACATTTTAGTTTGTCTAAGGGTTTGCCTTGTCAATGATTATTTATCATGTGGAAAGTGAATGCTTAGGCTTTTGTTATATTAAGAAAAATTAACACAATGGTGATTGATAACCTGTGATGGACTGGCATCCCATCAGGGGAAGGGTAGAAATACTTGTGGGTAACTTTTGATGGACTAGCAGCCCATGTGGGGGGATTAGTGATACTCTCATTCACCTCATGCTGTCCAAACCAAAATAACCTCTGTCCAGATGGATCACTTTACAAGAGAGGTGACTGAACCTGTACCCTGTGTGCATTCAGTCTGTACTAAACCTTGTTTGATGTGTCCTACTAAGGCTTTTGTAAATGCAGTCAAGAAAAACGTGGATGAAATGGAGGAAAGTGTGTCAACAGCGGAAAGGGAACTTGGAAGTCATAAAATTCAAAAAGTCCTAAAATCCATACCAGGACTTAGACAGGTGAGTTTGAAGCTGAATGTATTCTATGACAAGGCATGCCAATATATGTAAACACTCACCCTCGGTGTTCATCTCGCGCTCACCTCGTGCTTGTCTCCGCTTGCCTTTCGCCAGGTGGGCGTAGACTGACCTGCGATCAAGCATTCTTTCCACAATCCTGAAAAGACAAAGCCCCATCGCAGGTTAGGCGAAGACGAGCGCCATTCACCCCCGAGAGGAGGAGCTACTCTTCTCAAACCCTATTCAAACGGTCACGATAGTTAATGATAGTTTCAACTATCACGCGCCTTTGAACACGAACTGTCCTACACTATCATCGAGTATCATCAACTATCATGTGGTTTGAACACATTAAAATTCGACATGAGAGTTAATGACAGTTTTTGCCGTTTGAACGAGCGGATTATAGTGCACGATAGTTTTTCATTCAGCGGTTTTGCCAAAAACGGGCTCAAACCGAAATGGCAGGTGGTAAAATGACTAAAGTAGCCCTCAAAATTGCGCAGAATGTCTAGCAGTTCATTCTTATCGTCTCCTGGCAGGCTTCAGTATCTTCAACTCACAACTTCTTGACTAAAATTCCAAATGCCATCAAAATTGCAGACCTCAGCGCGCGCTAAACTTTTTTTACAGCTACGCGATCTTGTAGCGTGATTTTGTCAACTATCATTAACCGTTTGAATGCAAACATGATAGTCAATGATAGTGATTGAAAGTTGAAACTAGCGTCGGCTATCATCAACTATCATGATTGTTTGATCGGGGCTTAACGCTCACGTTCACCTCGCGCTCGCAAGCACCCCCTCGCCCCCCTCCCCTTCAGAAAAACAACAACAGAAAAAAATTCCGTCAATTCAGTAGGGTAAGCTTCTGTTTTGCCTTTTTGCCTTCAGATGACTCAGGGTCCTACAAAGCAAGAGAAAAATTTCTCAGACTGGAAAGCACCAGCTGTGTTCAAAACAAGTGACTTCCTTGGTCAAGCATCAACAGAGGAACTGTCGGTCGAAGGTGACGATACTCAAAAATCTGCGACGGATAATTCCTCGCCGGACAAGCCCACAGATGACAGCACAAGCCATACGACAGACAGATAAAGATAGAACAAGAAAATTAAAAGATGAGAAAAAAGCAAGAATTTATGAGCTCTCTAGAGTACAGAATCAGGTTACTTTTTCTTATCTCTGGTGGAAAAAAGTCACCCATCAGAAAATCATGTTTTAATACTACAGAAATATTCTAAGTTTATCAACATTTGGAGAACACTAGAATAATAGTTCTTAATTATAAATCAAATCATTACCGTGGTCTATAACCGTATTTGTTAAAAGGGACATCGTATGTAACAATGACAGGTTAAGAAATAAGTAAGTAAGGGTAATGGCAAAATAAGAGCTTACATTTTCATTCATAAATCAATGCGAGTTTGTAAGAGAACAGTGTAATTTCAACCAAGTCAGTATTTAAATACATATGATAGGTTAAAGTTTTCCTTAAATTCCAGCTTAGAATATATGACATGATGATAAAGTAAGGACATGGAATTTCTAAATGGGAAATTCTATCGTAGTATTCTGCCGGGATTAGTACCGAATTAGCCTGCGTTACCGGCGCCGTTTTTTTTTTTTTAATTTTTTTTTATTTAATTATTTTTTTTATTTGGCGCTTTGGGAAAAAGGTATAGGGATACCGCGAAATTTGAGTGGATAAACCGTTCACTGAGTCCTTGGCAAAACTATTACACAGGTTCCGTAAGGGACACAGAAATTTTTCGTTACGTCAGACTGTGGTGGAAATATCAAAAAAGTAAAAACTTTTTTGTCCCTGAATTAAAAATTTCTTTTCGAAAAATCAGGTCTAGATCCGTCAAAACTAAAAAAAAATGGTTCGCACATAAATTTTTTTTAAGGTTCAGATGCAAATGCCCCAAAAACATTAAAAAACACTTGTCCTTACCCACCGTATTAAAGAACATGTTGTGCACAGTTTGCACCTGCAAAGAATTGAAGCCCGTACTCATTTAGAGTTAGACCTTTCCCTTTCGCGTTCTGATGCTCCGAAGGTCTGAGGTTCGATTCCTCATGGGTGATTAGGATTTTGTTTTTGTTTTTCCCACGATCGTGACAAGACGAAAAGACCTTTTTCTTTAAAACAACGAGCTCAAAATCTATCATCTTTCATATTCTATTGAATTGTTGAAAAGAATGGGAATATGTACACTAAATTGACTAATTTCTAAAACCCCACAAAAAAAAAAATGAGACAGGGAGAAAGATTTGAAAAAAATCGTAAATCGAGAAAAAAAAAAAGCCTGTAGTGCAGACGTCTTACTGGAGCGTGTTAATTTTGCAAGCTTGTGATCGTTTGTCGGATTGGGCGGGTCATGTTTGATAAGAGTAAGAGTAAACGGTGAGGGGAGGGGGAAGTGAAAGGCCCACCCCCTTCCCTCTCCTTTCTCAGTGACCGTCGCTCGTTCCCTTGGTACAAATTTCTTACTCTGCCCAGCCTTTTACAGCTGTAGATATCAAAGAGGGCAGCTATAATTTTCACCTCGAAAAATACAGGGCACTCGCTCGCCAAAATTACGCCTGCTCTGCAGGCTAGAATAAAGGAAATTTTAGAGTGTTGGTTGCCAAGAGCGTGGAAGGGACATCGTCTGAGTCTTCCACGTGGAATCAAATCTCAGACTTCCAGATATTTGGCTTTGAGGCCCTGCCAACGAGCTTCAGGGAATTCTGTGGTGAACCAAGTCACTATTAGCTTCACGCATGGCCAGCGTTCTGAATAATGCTAAGATCAGCTAAGTTGAAATCACGAAGTGTGTTTATAGAGTGAGAGAACGATGGTAAATGTTTAGTTCCGTCGTCGAATAAAGAAAACAGAAATTAGTCTAAAAAAGGTACTTAAGTTTTTAAGGAAATTGGATTAGCCTAAAGTTTATTTGCAAGCACGGACAGAGAAATGGACATGATGGTAATAAAGAAAATGTCTGGAAATGTCTTGAAATAATTGCACGCAAATTGTGGGTCAATAGATAACGCGAATGATGTGCCACAGGAGCCCATTACTCAAGTAACGGGCTGCTGTGTTCCATCAAATCATGTATTGCCCTTAGCAAATTGATTTACTTGGCTGTCGACGCTAGAAAGTCTTCTTTCCTTTTTTCTCTGTGCGATAATTATACACCTGTAAAATTTTTCAAACAATGAGGAACTTGGTGGAACGTGGAAAGACATTTGAATTTTTCAAAAATATTTTGTAGTCGAAAGCAGAGCGAGTCATAAAATCGGAATGATGATGTAAGATAAAGAAAAAAAAAAGATTCTGACAAAAAAGACATCAACAATGTAATTTTATTTTGGGATGTAATCTGTCATCGTCAAGCAATATGCTTATTCATATCATTTCATAACCGGTAATATTTGGTCTCTGCGACAGTATTATGCCGACGGAACTACAACGCCTACATTTTTAAAAAGTGTTGGAATTTTTAATATTCCGTACGGGAAAGGATATCGTTAATAACTCTCAACTCCTACGGATCGCGGTACATTTCAAAGTTTTCCACTAGGGATAAAATTGATCTTCGACAATGAACGTTTTTCATTTAAGTACCTGTTATATTTTGTGTAAACATTTTAACAGAAGATCGGAAAAACATTAAACAATTTGAGATGAAATAAAAATTATTTGCACGTTGAAAGAAAAAAAATGAAGTATGAATTAAATTATTTTTAATAGAAAGATTTCAAAACATTACTTATCGTCGGATTTTCTTCCGATTATCGACGGATTTTCTGAAACACAATGAGAGGAAGGATTAACAGCGCATGGTTTCTCGGAAACGAGAGCGTCTCGTTAAATATCAATACTTGGACGTGAGCCATAAACACCTCTACGTATATTAAATATTTAGTGTTTACGATTCAAGGGTTTCTGCTTTGAAGGCCTCACAAAATTTCAAGTGCTGTTGCGTGTAGAATTGCAGAGTTGCATTGATACGCGTTCTTGAACATTTAGCTGGGTTCTTCCTTGCAACACGCGAAATTATTTTAAAACGCGATTCATAGAGACCAAATATCTTTAATAAGTCGGCAATGTTTGACTTTTATGGTGATATAACAATGATATCTAAAGAAGGTGATGAAGGGCATGAATTCGAGACGTGACACACAATTCCTGTAGTATCAGATTTCCGTCATCGCAGAACGTTTCAGTCCATTTGTTAACTGCGATACAAGTTGCACACTACATTGCGTGGTTGATGTTTGATAAAGATCTCTCTTAAGAACGGGAAAGTATATAATATGTCGGATACTGAGCTTCAGCGAAGTGAAAGTTTTATGGCCACAGAAACGGACTCGGGAATGGCCAGCGATGCTGCGATTGTACGGAGAGACGAAGAGATTTTTCAAGAAATGAAATCTAGAGAGACGGATTTCACTTTCAAGATAATGTGTGTTGGAGACTACACGGGCTTTGGAAAGAAGGGAGGCTTTGTGTCGGATTATATACATCGTCGGCCGCTAAGCTTTTATCACAAGCCGACGATCGGAGTCGATTTTTACTTAAATTTTATTACATGGAGCGACCAGACAACGAATCAAGACTTCACTGTGAAACTGCAATTTTGGGATGTCGCCGAACACGAACGCTTTCTCAAGATGACAAGTGTGTTTTGTAGGAACTGCGTCGGCGCATTGGTGTTCTGGGGACCAAAGAGCCCATCTCCTCTTGGCAGTGTTTTAAAGTGGGGCGAAAAGATCAAAGAAGCGAACCCAAAAGACGCCAATATACCTCTGGTTCTTATTATAGAAAACATTCCAACGTCCAAACGGGGTAAACCTGTTGATTGGATCGGCCCCGGGAAATTAATCGAAAACAAAGTTCTGCTGGATGAGTTTTGCGCCAGGAATGGATTCGTTGGTTGGTTTCAGCTCGTGTCAAGAGAAGAAGATGGTTATACCGGCGTGATGACTAGAGCAGTAGACTGTCTTGTTCAAAATATTTTCAAACAACGCAATCTCCGAAAGCCGTGACGATTGTTTGAACTTCTGGTGTGGATACTGAATGCATGCCAAATTTGTAAGTATTTCCGGTCTCGGTGTTCAATTACATCATTGTTACCCTGAGCGGTTGTGAACAGTCACGAGATACTAAGTGGCTTTCTTCATAAACACCGTATTCGGAGGTTCATTCTTTAAATTCCTGAAGACATAAAACCAAAAATAACTTCTAACTTGAAAATCACGAAATACGATTTGTCATCGAACTCTTTAAACCGTGCGTAAAGTTCATTCCATGCTTTTTGAAGGAAAACGAACGATAATTTGGAGCAAATCAAACTCGTGAACGTGGGTTATTGTAGCATCGTTTTGTGACATTTACTATATTACGCTCCATATCATTAATTGTACAGCAAGAGAAATAGTTTTGAATTCGGCGACTGAATTAAGAAACAAGACAAAAAATAATGTTGTGGGACCTATTCAGGGTTTTTATTATTTATTAAAATAATTTTGCAAAATTCTATTGGACTTTTAAGCCCCAAGGAGAATCTCTTTATAATTTTTTTTCTCTATAAGTAATGTTCAAAATCAAATGTTAAGATAATGAGAGACTTAACTTCGCTAGAAGAATAAAAAAATTTTGGAGTGCCCTTGGCTGCCTCTTGGTACTTAGACAGTATATTCCATGATTATATCAGTTGACATTGAGAAAAAACAAACACATCCGTGAACAAGATAGTAAATAAACAAGTATTTGGCTGTCTGAAGGTAAACAGCGCTCGACAGACATTAAGCAGTGTTTCAGTTTTCATGAACACGTAGAATGCGGTGAAAACGATCTAATTTCCTCACTATAATCCGTAAACAGATTAAAGGAGTGTGCCCTGCTTAACTCCAATCTTCCCTAACACCCAGTAGTTCTAAAGCCGGTTACCGCTAAAACAATAACAAAAAAAAATTTGTTTTTTGATTTCTCATGCAAAAATTCAGGATTAAGGGGAGGGGGAGAGGGCGGGGGATCTTGGGTTAACTCTGTAGGGTTCTAGTGCCGCATGAGGCAAATCCTTAGTTCTGAATAATCCTCTCAAGCTTGCGAGCACGCCCTCATTAGGCTAGCCTACCTGTAGCCGCACCCTCCCCTCTCGCTTCCGTTTAACCTGGGGGTGAGGAAAGGGTGCGGCTACACGTAGGCTATTATTAGGCGCGAGCTTTTCTTCGCCCGCGGAAAATTATCAGGCCTTGAGCAACGCGAGCGGCAAAAGGTGTGCGAAGGGGTTTAACACTATTAGCGCCAGACCCCTGGAAAACCTCTTCCTGACTCTTCTCATCTTCCCGCGTCGTACAGCGCTAATAACGAGAACCTACTAAATCCACTCTAGCTCTGACCTTCATGTAGCCGTACCCTTCCCCCCCCCCGAGAAACTCCTTAGGGGTGGAAGGTACGACTGTACGTGGGCTAAATCCACTCCAGAATCAAATATGGACGAAAGGGGATTGGTCGGGCTTCACAAACGCGGAGTTTTATAAATGAAATCAGTTTGTGATGAGGACGGTATCCAAATATAATTTGGTTCAGTTTTGGTTTACAGAATGTCGTCCTCTTCTAGGAAGTCCAACATATCAAAAACGGGGGAAGGATCGAGTGACTCGTTCCGTTAAAGATAAAACTAGTGATGGTGTAAACGCTTTAATTACTCCGCCGATTAACTTATTTTACTGCCGAATGGTTTCAAAGATACCTCTCTCGCCACCACTACACGCCAATACCAAACATGTAAACAACGAAGAACATCGCGTAAGTCAAAAGAAAACAGCGCAAAAAAATTGACGTTACGCGGCGCGCGGAACTATAGGAGTTAGGCCTTAGCTAACAGCGGGCTAACATCATGCTAACATCAAGTTCTTTCTTCGCCGATTTTTTGTTTTTTTTTTTGTTTTTTTTTTTCGCGCGACGGAGCATTTAAAATATACAAAAGTAATCAAATCTCATGTAACTGCATCTAGAGCGGGTTTCTTAAAAACATAGACAACTTCTTGAATTCAAACACACTTCCGTGTAACTTTCTAAAAACCTCTTCCAGATCAAGGGCCAGGTTCAGGATGAGAGAAATGCTTCTGGACGAGCCAGACGCAGTAACAAAACTTGTGATATGCGCTTACCACAATTCTTAGACTGTGGCTTTTAATTTGGGATGTACAAGGGCTTTAAGATTGATAAAAGGCGCTAAATGCAGTTGCATCATCCTTACGGCCGCCTTCCGTGCGTGACAGGCGCCTAACATGCTTACACGTATGAAATCTACGAAATCTTGCATTGCCGGTTTCGAAACTCAAAGGACATTTCTATCTAGCTACCACACTGCCAATTTTAAGATAGAAACAAGAAGAATATAACCTCGACAGCTTGAAAACTAAGAAAACACAATTTTCAACTTCGAATACCTGCTTTCAACCATGACCACTTGTGTTGAGTCCTACGAGAAACCGGAAGAAGAGAACAAAGCAGTCCTGAGCTTACTTGGCGAAGAAATACAGTTGAAATCGTTCAAGAAAAACATTCTGGAAAATGGAGATCAGCTTCATCTGAAAATAATAATCTTAGGCGACCCAAAGTGGAAAGAGAGGAATCTTATGTCTTCAAAAATAATCCCATTCTGTACCCCGTGGTTACATGGGGAGGAGATAGTGTGGAGAAATTCGTCAAATTCACATTCTTACACTCTGAAGATCCAGTATTGGGAGCTTTCGCTCATCGACAGATTTCGTTTTCACTGTGGTAATCGCAAATTGTGCAAATCATGTGATGGCGCGTTGCTGTTCTATGATGTAGAGAAGCCGTCAACGCTTTCCATCGCCCTTGAAAATTTCGAGCTCATACAAGCAGCAAATCCTAGCTCTGAACGAAACGGCTTTAAGGTTCCAATCGTTTTGATCGCGATAAATAATAATGCAAACGAAGGTTCCTTTCCAGGAAGTGAAGAAATGGTCAAAAGGAAGGTGGAAATGGACAAGTACTGTTCACACTATGGATATGTCACATGGTTTGAACTTCCATCACGCAAGATTGACGATTACAAGCGGGTGATCGCCAAAGCTGTGGATAGAATTCTACAAGAAATAATTGATTTGTCTCGAAATGGCGTGACAATCTGGGGCGATTGGAAACTGAAGTATGACACAAAAGGCAGAGATCATTCTTCTAGATAGAACTCCAGAATACTATGTCTCGTCACGCAACAGGGGATGACAGGACCATGGAGATGGCGAAAAGAAATCTTTACAAACATTTTGTCGAAATTTCCTTTGCCTTGAGTTCACTCTCAAAATCTGAACATAGGTGAATACTCGAACTGGCTTCTAAATTTTTTTACTGGGAAAAATTTCAAACCATGTCACAACAATTTGATCAAAATAATTGCACACGCTGTATTTTTGTCAGCTTTCTACGAAAAATAAACAGAAAAACATATATGGCTCACAAAAACAGCAAATACTGTCAGAGAACAGAAACAGAAAGGTTAAAGAGGCCTTTGAATATGTTTTTTGCACGAGTGCCCATTCAAGTACATGACCTGCAATGAGATTGCGCAGAGCAACGAAAAAAAAGTAGTGATGATGTAAGAAAAAGATGAGAAAACGAACCTTTAGAACCCCTTTGCAGATATTAATCTTTAAATATTGTGTCAAATTTGTTGTGCACGTTCTGCTTCTTATAAAGATTTCCCCAAATTTCCCTATTGTGATAAAGATTCCTTATTTCCACAGCAATCACCATGCTGATTAGTGCGTCTGCATTTCATTTCAGCTGAGGTTATGGCATCATTTCTTTCATGAAGGTACCATTTGTGTCTTAACTATATTTTCACTTATGCTTGGCTGCAAATTGCGCAAGTCCACTTTGTAAGACAGTATGGGTCATTCCTCTTTTCACCAAAACACAAGTTACGCCTGAAAGAATAATTAGAAAATTTAACATGTCTTAGAATTCAAATATCTGGAAAATGGAAAGTCTTAATGTTTGCATCTTATTTTGGAAATCATTCCAGGCTAAATTTTGCAGGTAACCTGTTATGAAGCAACATCCAATTTAGTGAAAGTAGCAAAAATGCAGGTCATTAGTTGTTATGGAAACTGTAATTAGCTCAAAAAGTGAGATTTACTGGTAGGTTTTTATACAAAGAAATTTTTTAAGCCTCCCTTGGTCTCAAAGAAGATTGTGCCACCCAACTGGGCCATAATTTGGGTATATTTTTCTTCCACAAGTACCAAATAATTGCTTACCTAATCTGCTAACTTCATGAATATTCCTTTCTTCATCATCAAAGAAGAGCATATTAGAGTATGCAATTCCACTAGCCTCTACAAATCTGGTAAAAATGAAAAAAAAAACAATACAGACTATTTTTATGTGAACCCCTTTCTTCTCACAAAAATACGGACTTGAGTTTGAACACTTCCATGAACATCACTTACAGCAACATGCACTTAAATTTTGCATTGCGCTGATGGATAAACCCTGGTGGAAAACAAAATTACTGATTTACAAACCAACCTTTTAAAATGAGTAAGTTTTGACCCAGGAAATATCTCCTTGTAGGAAAAATACTGGTCTATGTCAAGAATTCTCAATAATTCCTGGGCTGTGGGCGGATCTTCAGTTCTGTAGGACAAAATAGTTCATTTGGGATATTGTCAGTATTATTCGTCTACATATGAATAACTTAACCCTTTAACTCCCATGAGTGACCAAGACAGAATTTCCCCCTACAGTATCAATACAAAATCAAGGAGACAAGTAATGAGAACCAAGAAAAGTATCAATTAGGGGATTATTGTTTGATCCAATACCAACTTTTCAGATGTGACATCAGAATGATTGTATAGCAGACAGTAAGGAGAATTACTAATGAGATCTTGGGAGTTAAAGGGTTAAATGCTAAAGCTAAGAGACGCCTGTAACACCAAAGACTTTAGCTACCTTGGACCCAAGTTTCCTATCCCAGAACAAAAGTGGCGATAATCCAGATAAGGGTCACACAAAAATTATAAAGTACCACTCTTAATTTGTTATTGAGGGGAAGAGGGGAGAGTATCAAATTGGTCAATCAATCTTTAAGGGGGGAAGGGTCTCGTACATGTTGGCTTAAAAGTGAATGCTGTATATAACTGTTAAACAAAATTTCTGTTCTGTTTTATGCTGCTATCAACAATAATGCTACTAGATAGCTGAAAGCATAGATAATACACCACAACTCAAGAGCATAACTTTTTAATGCCTCTGAAAAAGTGCTCATGTTTCACAAGAGGTCAGTAATGTGATTGGTGGCATAAAATACATTTTCAGTGGTGCACTAACAGCTCTAAGTGCACTAAATTAACACACATCTCCTGTAAATTAAGCTTGGACTTAAATAAAAAATAATCCTTGTTGATGTATGTTTCCTTATATTCTCTTGATCTTTGTTGTATGAAAACTAATATATTTAGGAGAAATTCTATTTTATTTTTGGTCACTGCCAGGAGGCAAAGGGTTAAGTTAAAATTTTGTAACCTTCAAAACTTAATATAATCTTCACCTAGAAGCTGCAGCAAGACACACTCCTTTAGAGCTGAGATGCTTCAGAATTTCCAACATGTCATCGTACAGTTTCACCTTGTTTCCACCACTGTCCTGTATTGAGCCATTACTTTAAAGCAAATGACGTAAACAGAAATTAATAATTCATGGTTGACCAAACCGTCATAAAAAATTTACCAAGGAAGCTAGAAGTACGGTTGAGATGACAATGTGATGTTCTAGAAAATATGCATAAACCATCAAAAGATAATATTACAAACAATCAAGAGCTCCCTCAGTTGGTGATCATTTCCTTTATTCTCATGACCTTAATGTGTGATTCAGGGGTGAGAATGTAAGGAGAAATTAGATGACAGTCACTCTTCAGGGTCAAAGGCTTAAGAATAGTATAGCATACCTACTATTACATAACACTCACCTCTTTTTTGTAAAAGGTGGAGAAACATGAGTGTCAGCCCAAAATGGCCACACTGTAAAATCTGTTACAAAATATTAAGCCATAAGTAAAACCCTTTCCAGCACATTTCAATAACTTGTTTGCAATTATTCAGTCGCAGGAAATATTGTATCATCCCATTTGTAAAATCAAACACTTGTGAGCTCCACAGTCTAAATAAATATTACAGGTTTAATTGTCAAACTGGCCATGATTCAATGCGTATGGTTCGCTGGGTAACAGTTCATGTCAGTTTAACTCCTGCCAGCCAATGTTTACTCTAAAATCTGATTTCTTCATTCAGAGAACTTGTTTCTCACTTTCAGTACGTTTTTATCGACCCGTGTTTCTTGTAATTAATTTCTTGATTAGAGAAAAGAATGTTAAAATAATTGAAATTTCTCATTTGAAGGACACTTGAAATAAGATAACTGACACGCTGAATTTGTTTTCAATATATTTCTTTCTTTACGTTGAGACTCTTAATTTAGTGCTGTTCTTATCACAGTGAAGTCGCTCTTATTACAAATTTTAAAACTATGATCACATTTCTTCATTTCACAAAACAAGAACTTGAATGAGACTGATAGATCTAACTTCAAAAATTGTGATATTGGTATTTCGAACAGAACAAACGTCTTTAATACTACAGACTGCCAGACTAACGCACAGACTACAAGTGGGTGCCCATTTGTCTACACCCTTAAATTGTTAGACATAACTAGATTTGTTTGACAATAATTTTAAACGGTAGGAGACGAGAAAAAACACTCACCTAAGTCAAACACGACAAGTTCTGGCAGAAATTTTCCGCCATCTTTGCTTGCAGTCATCCTACTCGAGCCCAGTTTTCTTTGTACGAGTAAAACTCACGACTCAGGAGGGGAGGGAAAGGAAAATAAACACTTTCTACTGATCCTTGCCCTAAATTCAATTTTACAAGGAAATTTTCTCTTGGAGAAATTGTCTCTAATGACAAAATTAGCTAGTTTGATAATTCTTGTAGATTCAAAAGTGTTGAAACAAAAAGAAAAAGCCCTGAATGCCTTTGTTCCCTGGTCAGGGAACATATACATACCCTTTTAAACTTGGTTTAATAACTGCAAATCATGATTATCCCACTAACTCAGTAAATGTATGAATAATTTTCTGGGTTTTGTTAAGCATTGCATCAAGTTATTGAGGGTCTGAGCCTCGGTCCAAGAGTGACCACTGATCTTGTTTTAGGCCAGAAAATTTCTAGTTCAGTAAGTGAGCTGATTATTGTTTGTTATTGGTTGATGCCTTAAGCCTCAGGCATCTCTTTTTGCTACTATTAAGGAAAAACATTATAGTGTTTACAATAACTCTGGTCAAATACCTCAAGGGATATGAAATCAGTCTTCAAACTAGAAAAATACCATTGCTCTGAGAAGGAGTACGTTTCGGCCTCAGATGTCCATGGAATGTTATATTGTGCTAATCCATCATGACTGTTCCACATAAAAAATTTAATGTCTGACAGTGTTCTTATCTCACGGAAGTTCAATCCGCGTGGTATTTATGGGTCTTAAGTTCGTTTCATGACCGCAATAAACTGTTTGTTTATTATTCTCCAACTAATACGTTTAAAGGTTAAGAGAAAACAGCTTGAAACTGATTAAGCCTACTCGATTTTATTTGTGACGCACATTACTGTTCCATGAATTCTTTCTGAGACATTTACACGGTTTGTCCTAAACCAAGTCACTGTGAGAACACCACAACAAAATACAATAATCAGTTCTTATTAAATATAAATCTTCGCGACTGATATATTCGTAGTACTCTGTTCGGGACGAAACCTTACTTGACTGTTTAACGTATTGTTTATTTGTTCAACACCACTCATTAATATGCAGGAAACCGGTCTGCGCAGAGAATGAATGGCGACATTCACTGAATCTTGCCGCTGTGCACGTAATAGTTCAAATACGATTGTCTTGCTCGCTTTCCATCGATTCCAAATGAAAGTTCCGTCATAAATGTTTATCAGGATAACAAATGTACCAGACTGCTCAAATGTTTTTACGTAGTACGTAACTTCGTTCGCTAGAGCATTCAAAGTGTAAACAAAAGCAGTCTGCAAACCGCAAAACTCAGTTTTCCGAGAAATGCGACTTTTTGTGGTAGATCGGAGATGGAAAATGCTATTCAAATGCTTCAAAATACGTCTCATTTTTAGTATAACTTGTATCGTCGGCGTGTCCTGTGACCCCAGTGATTTCCAGTTATCTGCAGCGGTCGAGCCGTTTCAACTGTTTACTCCGACAGGGAGAGGTCTTCAACCTCCGAACGGCTTCCTTTATCAAATTTCCCTGCTCGATGAGCTCAACCAGTAAATTGTAGGACGAAGAGGAAGCCGCAGACTTCCTCAATGGATCTGCCGTAGGACATATGCAAGCTCGCAGAGTTATTTCTGAATCGTCCACCGAAGGACGCTCACAGTCTAACATATCACCATATCTCATTTCTTCCGCATCGATTTTCTGGTTGACTTGAAGCAGGTCTCGAAAATCTGAAATCACCGACTCCATTCCATCGTTTTCTCCTTTTTTCATCCATAGACTTCCGTGGTAGTAGTTTTTCGTTGAAGGCATAGTTTTTTTACCGTTCAGAGGGGAGAAAAAAAGGAGGAACTTTGCGTCCAACTTCTGCGTACACAAATGTGAACTGCTGACACAACGTTGTGTTATTGTTTAGCGCTTGAAAGGAACTTCAACGCTGTCTTTGAGCACGTGGAATCGGTATTTGTGAAAAACAAAGGATTTGATTGGCTGTAACACGATGCTACGAGTGACGATATTGAGGTGGCCTTGGTTTTGATTGGCTAAGACAGTAAGGCCACACCAAACAAGTGTCATATCTATTTCAGTAATTTCGATGGCGGGAACCTGCCCGACCAAAGTACGAGTTATCACGAAACTGAAATAGCAACGAAATTTCCGAGAAGTAACGAATTTTACGACAACTAATTAGATATTAGACATCAAGCAAGAACCTCCCGCTTTGAGAAAGAAGTAGACGACGAAAAATGAGGAGAAATCGTGGAATAAAATCGGAGAGTGTAATTTTTGGTCGACTGTCCATCAATCAAACATTTGTTGAAAATTTTAGCTGTCAGCAAGTAGGAGCTCGGAAAATACTCACAACTAATGTACAGCAGCATTAAGATTTCAGAAATACAAGAAGGTAAAGATTATGTAATGATAGAAAACGCACGGTCATCCAGACGTGACAAATATGGTAAGGTCAGCATTTATGCCATGAAACAATGTTTGTATTGTAAACCTGCTTTTCACAGAGTTCAAATAGCGTGAACCAGTTTCAACAGACAGGTAGAAGCATGTCGCCTTTCGGAGGTCCCTGTGAGAAATCAAGTGTAAATTGTGGGTGTAAACCGATACAGAGACTGAATCCTCACTTTACGCCACTCCATTATATGGTTCTGGGTATATTTCCCGGACAGCGGTAAAGTCGAGCTCTCTTACCTTTCGAATGTTTAATCATAACTGAATTTCCGGCAAATGGGCTGCCTTGATTGATTCTTCCGGTTTCTTGAGTGTGAGTCTAACCCGACTCAATCATCACTGTTATCATCGTCATCATCATCATTCTCTAAGTCATCAGATATTCAGCCACACAAGAAGTACTATGTACGAGGGTGCATCATAGACGTAATTTTTGTTCTCATAGCGTTCATTGTATCACCATTAGAGTTAACATCATCAAATTTCATCGCGGGCAACCTTTTTAAGATGGTAACAGACCGTCCAATCGGAGCCCAGCAAACTCCTGTGTTTATCAAGTTTCGTCATCGCTATAGTAATTTCATCTCCGACCATTTTCTTACAATCCAATGACAATACTATGTTCATCCTTATGCTTATGTTCATGTTAATTCTTCTCTACTTGTTTGCGTTTTTATTATCATCACCATCGTTGAAATTTTTCATGGAGGAGTGGGTTGGGGGATGTGAAGTGTCCACGACTCAGTGTACTGTACGCCGATCACTTGCCAGGTTCATTTTTTCAGAATAAACTTGTTCATAATGCACCCTTAGGATATTTTTCATCGATAAATATACACCGCAAGCCTTGGTTTAATTTCATAAAAATTTCACTTTGATTTTCCATGATATAGACGAATGTAAACATAGAAAACGAAATGATTTATTTCATGCACGCAATCATACAACTGATTCCCACGTACAGCTGCAACTGTAAAAAATAGTCCCGGATTTTCTCTTGATTGCGAAATTTAAAATATTTTAACTTCGGAGGGGAAAGAGTGAAATTTTAGTTTAATTTCATATCTGTAAATTTCAAAATAACGTTTCTGTCAATCTGCAATTTTTTAAGGAGCAATCAAAGACCATTTTAGTTCTGCGTTTAAAAAAAAAAAGGCACTGTTCTAATACTGTTTCTACATTAAAGTTTGGAATTTCCATTTTGTTACTAAAAATGTTTGAATGCGTAATAATATTTGCCATATTATTTGATAACCTGCTTTCTATGACATTTCTTGGCGCTCTAGGGAAGATTCGATTCCGATCGATCGTTCCAATTCCTTCCTTTCGCAATTCCTCGTGTTCTGATTGGCTCTGTGATGTAAACTGACGTTTCCATTGTCTGTTCTTAACATTGTTTGCATCAACAGCGTACTGTCGAAATGGCCGATTCATAATGTTTGATATTAGAACATGGCGAAACACTCCTTCAATTCAACCTTGAAAGATGGACAAATCGCTGGATTATACGACTTGCAAGAAACGCTAGGATGCGGTCACTTTGCTGTTGTCAAAGTTGCGAGACACGTTTTTACGGGAGAACGAGTTGCTGTGAAAGTGATCGATAAAACAAAACTCGATGAGATCTCTAGAGCACATCTCGTCAAGGAGGTTCGATGCATGAAACTCGTCCAACATCCAAATGTGGTCCGATTGTACGAAGTCATCGATACGCAAACCAAACTGTACCTTGTTCAGGAACTGGGCGATGGTGGGGATATGTATGAATATATCATGAACCACGAACAAGGCCTCTCCGAAGACAAAGCTCGCCATTATTTTCAACAAATTGTTCTCGCCATTGACTATTGCCACAAACTGCACATTGTACATCGGGATTTAAAGCTTGAAAATGTGATATTCTTTAAGAGTTTGGATGTTGCTAAGCTAACGGATTTTGGTCTTTCGAATAAGTTCTCTCCCGGTCAAAAGCTTGATACTTCGTGTGGATCGTTAGCGTATTCCGCCCCCGAAGTTCTACTGGGAGATTCGTACGATGCTCCAGCAGTAGGTGAGTATTTTTTATCATTTTTACTATCATCTCCGTGGGATAAAAAGCTTTCCTCGAACATTGCGTGCTCATTTCCTAGCGGTTTTTTACCTTGCGTTAATCTTAATGAATAAGGTTCGTCTTCACATGTTTCATCTAATAACATGCCTCTCTGTTCCAGAGTCAAGTTGATAGAGGCTTTCAACATGTAGCAGGAAATTGTACAATTTTGTTTGATTTCGAAGCGGCTTCAAGATTTTTTCGGTGTCCGATTAATGATGGTAGTCTTTGCGATTCTCCTATGTCCATCCATAGGAAATAGTTTCATTCTAAGTCAAATTATGGAGGACATTCGAAAAGCACGTTACTCGTGTCTGGATATATTTACCTCTTTTGATGTGCATTAAAATGCGATGTAATGAATTCTCACACTTCAAATTTTCAGCTTAACTCAGTTTTACTGCTCCTTCTCAGTAGGAGGTGAGCATTCGAATTTTACTGAGTAATTGTGTGGAAAGTGTATAGTATTTGATTGGCCAGTATGAAGTTTCAATTGCTAAGTCATGCTTAAAATAATTTTTGAAATTACTTTAGTTGAGAATTACATTGCAATATCGAGTGATATTTAATCTTGTGTCAGAATTTTGATCACCGCCGGAATCAGCACCTGGCCAGAGGAAAAAGAATAATAACAATAATTAGAATAATTCTCTGTCTCCACATAAATTTAATTTTTCATTCATATTAAGGAGCGAAAGGTTAACATGTTTAGTTATAGCATTTTAATAACACTTTTTGTTTCAGTTTTTTTGGTCGGTTTCGTGTTATTTATACATCCATTAGGTATCAAAGATTACAATTTTGAATGAACACATTCTCAATTTGAAACTGCTCTATTTTAATTTGTGATAATCGTTTGCAATTTCATCAAATTTTTCAAGGTAGCTCTGCACCTAATGTATAAATTCATAAAATGTTTACACTACAAAGGTATTTGAAAGCAATTGTTGACTCTTAGCAGTAATAATTAAGATTGTGTCTGGATTATTTAGAAGTGTTGATGACCTATTCAGAGACTTTCTGACAATTAAATTTGAAAAAGGGAGAATCATTACAACCTTTGTCATGTTCCTTACCAAGGAACTTTCTCATAGAGGCTAAAACTGATATTCATGATCATGCTTGCATGTTTTCTTGTCACTTCTGGTTCTGAGTATTGATATACACTGATATTAAATCATCATAGTTTGTTTGCTCTGTTGTATGGTTTCAGCGAGCTAAAGCTCAATGTAATAATTGCTTACCCAGCGGCCAGATGTTTCTTTATAACTTGTCGAGTCTTTAGTGCAGGAGATTCTTGATTAAGTAAAGCCATGATCCTCACAGGAAAGGAGCCTGATGAAAATTCAGGCTTTGATGAGATTGGAACCTGTGTTTCCCAGATATTACTTGGGAGCTATTACCAACTGAACTATGAAGCCACATGTTGGACGCAGGGCACATTCCAGAGGGTTCTTCTTTCCTGTGGAGGGATATGGTACAATTCTGAAATTTATTTCATTATAAACTGTAGTTTCTTGATTGATGAAAAATGACAAGTTTCAGTCCCAGTTTAGAGAAATTTCAATGGTCAGATTACATTATTATTATAGCCCTGTGGTGATCATTGTAGTTGGGAAGAAAAAATTGTGGCAATCATTATGGTGGATTTAGAAAAAGGTTCTTATGTTTATTGCTGATAGTTATATAGATTTACCATATAACTGCTTAGGAATTCTTTCCTTAATTACCACAAATTTCCTTGTAGGTATTAACATGTAACTTCTCACAATTTGATAAGTTATAGTGTAAAGAGGTGATGAAAATAGATATGCTCAAGTGTTAGAGGGTATCATCTTGATGTAACACCAAATTCTCCTGTCTAATTTACAAGGTTGTGTAATACAGTCAGGAAGGAGAATTACTCATTGAATCTTAGTTGAAATACCATATTTCCTGAGGAAACAAGGAAAACCTGTGTCTGTTGCTACTTTGTATATAACTTTTTGAGTTTTAACTACAATGGAATCACTACAGGAAAATAGTTCTTTTTTTGTGTGTGTCAAGTCACTTCTAGTTACTTCTATCTCCATGTGCTTGGTATTGGATCAACTTATTATCCCCAAATTGGTATTTTTCGTTATTCTCATCACTTACTTGGTTGATATTGTATTGATATTGTAAGGAGAAATTCTGTCTTGGTCACTCATGGGAGTTAAAGAGTTAACTTCCCTGGAATAAGTAGAACATGTTTGGGCAATGAACAGTGTAGTCTATAAGGACCAGTAATTTCTACAATAATCAAGTTATTGGGGTGTGTTTGAAGAAAACAGTTGAAAATGAATAAGCACCCCCTCCCATTGCATAAGCACTCTCCACCCAATAAGTGCCCTTCCTTTTAGCCAAAATTTTGAAAATACAGTAGTTATTATAGGTTTCTCTCTAATAACAGGGAAATTGTTAAATGATGAATTGAAAGGCTCAGAGCAAGAACGACCCCTTGATTTTTCGGCCATTTTTGAAAGTGTTCAGAAGTAGTTGAATTTTGGCATGTGGACTTAGTTTTACTCGATATACACTGTTTTGGTTTTTTTTTCGCTGGTTTGCGCTTCGTTTTCGAGAAATAACGTATGCAAAAAACCTTGAATTTCGTAGCGGCTTTCATTGAATGAAGCCGAAACAAAAGAAGCCTTTTGTTTCATCAAAACAATACAGCCCCCGAGAACTTGCATATTCATAACTAGCTTAAAGAAAGAGCATGTTTTTTGTTTTGAGTTTAAAACACCGTTTAGCAAACGTAAAATATCCTTGAACAAACTCGCACTACGGCAGAATTGAAGACAAAACCAAAGATACGTTGACATAGCCAAAAGTTTATACGAAAACGCTCCTGTCGAATGCTTATGCGAAGGAGTGCTGCAGTTTTATTTCACAATAAAATTTAAGTTGCGTAATCGAATGTTCTCGTTGCACAGTCGGTTAGGCATTGGACTCGCAGTCAGACGGTCGGTACGGCTCTTTTTTAACAAATGTCTTTTTTTATTGTCATTGTCATTAATTATTAATGATAAACTTTTAATCCTAAATGAATGATTTGATTCAAATTTTGTCTGTCTTAGATGTTTGGAGCCTTGGAGTCATTCTTTTTATGTTAGTGTGTGGTCGCGCTCCCTTTTATGAGGCAAATGACAGCGAAACACTCATCAACATTATGGATGTTCGGTACAGTGTGTCTGGACATGTATCTCAGCCCTGTCAAAGGTAAATGTTAACCCTATTGTTAATGATGGTAATTGGACTGAGTGGAGTCCAATTTGGTCTGAGTGATTAATAATTGATTCCATGATATTACATAATACTTAGATATTGTAAATTTCAATTACCGTAATGTATCTGTGAGGCCTTCTTAGGGTCATTGTAACATGCCTCTGAGGAAGGCACAGTAAACTTGTAGTTCATCTCTTTCCCAATCTAGTGTTTGGAAACTTGTTGAAGTGGAGGAGAAAGGTTGAGGAAGGGTGTTAATCTCCAGGGGCATAACCAGGGTTTTTTTCCTGGGAGGGGGGGAATCATTCTGTATCAAACAGATGGTACTCACCATATTCGTATGTTTGACCTCAATGCTGTGTTATACTCAATGTGACAAAAAAGGCTTGAAATGCAGGGTCATGGGACCCCCCCTTCCCCCCCACATTCATTATGTCTTGATTTCCACCAGTGTAACATTTTGGAAACATGTTAAATTGAGGGGGGAGGTGGATAGTTTGGGATAGAGGTTAACCTCTACTGGTTAAGTGTTTATGAAACATGTTGGAATGGTGTAAGAAGGGGGGGGGGGTCAAGAGAAGGGTATTTGTGTTAACTTTAAGTGGGAGAACAGTTACCTATACTATTGTAGATACACTGGTTCAAGCCATGGCTGCTATGTTGGGTACAGAGCAGACATGGTGAGGCTCTTATTGATAAACAGGAAAGCATTGACAATGTTTTATCAATTGTTCACTCAAATTACCATGATTGTGGTAAATAATATGAATTGTTTTGGTTTTCATCTAATCAAATGCTAAACCAAAACACTTAATTACTCCCATTTTTAACTACACGAGGCCAATAATGTGTATTTGCTTTGAGTTCCTTTTGGCTGCATGTGAAAATTACATTTACCCTAACTGACTTTTGCAGTTAGTTGCTTAGCTTTAGGTTAAGTTTGGTGTTTTCAAACTGCTGGTAGTACACTTTTTTTTTGTTTCTTAAAGCTTTAAGTAAGATTTGTTGTCAATTTCCCTTGGATTCTGCAGTTCTCTTAAGAGAAATGAATTACAAGTCTTCAACAGATCCAACAAAATTACCTATACACAACAGGAAATAAGCAATTATGGGTTAAAGTTTGCAAGGGAAATATGCAATGAAAATTTGCAAGAAGTTAGTACTTAGACCTCACAGTTTAGCAGAAATTGAAATTATTGCAGAAATATGAACCAGAAAAAGGCCTTAACAAGGAGTGAACCTGTGCCTTGTAGATTCCAGTTTGAGTCTATTGCCAACTGAACTGCCACATGACATGCTGAGAGCTATGCCAATTTCATAGGAATTTTCACACCTGAAGGGATCTGATCAGTACCATGGCATGAAATGACTAGGAGTATTTCAACTCTTCCCTGGATGGGCTGCCAGTCCATTGCTAGGGTACCCCCTAGCATTTCGTCAGGCTTCACTGACAGTTTACCAGTTCTCATATATTCTCCAGGCTGGAGAGAGGTACCATGAAAGCCAAGTGTTTTTGCCCAAGAACACATCAAAATATCCTGGCCATGTCTCCCACTGATCATAAATAGCCCCATCTCTCTATTCTCTACAGCTTGATAGAAAAAATGTTGGTGAGAGAGCCATACCATCGCTGTTCAGTGGAGAGTATAATGGAGGATCCTTGGTTCCAAGGGGGACATCCGCCTGTACTTCCCACTCCTGTACCCTTGGTAACTGAACTACCCCTCACCCCTGAGGAACATAATTATGTGGTGGAGATCATGGAAACTGGAAAAATTGCAAATAGGGAGAAAGTTAAAAAGTGAGTTATGTTGCTGTTATAAGTTGGACTTACCAGTACATAATTGAGTGCCCAATTGAAGCAGCATCAAGCACTGCAATTTTGCAGCTGGTTAGGCCAATTTTCATAAAAGTAGAGCATGGTCAACCAGCGCCTAGAAAGGGAACAATAGCTAGTCATTCTGTTAAAGAGTCTGAAAGTCACAGTCAGCCAGTCACTCAGGTAGTAAGTCAGTTAGGTAGCCAGTTAGTCAGTCAGGCAGTAAGGCAGTTAAGTAGTCAGTGAGTCAGGCATATGTCAGATAGGTTGTCACTCGGTGATTAAGTCAGTGATGCAGTTAGTCAGTGAGTCAGTTAGTATGCTAGGTAGTCAGTCAGTCAGTTAGTAGGCTAGGTAGTCAGTCAGTCAGTTAGTCTGTTAGGTAGTCGGTCAGTCAGTTAGTTAGTATGCTGGGTAGTCAGTCAGTCAGTTAGCTGATCACTCAGCCTGTCCACAGCCAGCTAGCCAGTCAGTCAGTAAGTCAGATGCTGACGTCAGACACTGATTTGGAACCCTGATGAACAAACTAATCGACAAACAGGATAATGTGAAAAGACAGACAAACTGACAAACGGACAGTATCAGTCATCATGGACCGTGTTTTCATATCCTTCCCTTCCTTTTCCTTTTCACTCAAATACTGACCTGCAAAGACAGACATAGTTAAGGCACTATAACTTTAAAAACCATCTTTTTCACCCAAAATTTAGTCTATATTTGTATATAACCTGCACAGGTCCCTGGAAGAAAACGCATACGACCACATAGCGGCCACTTACTATTTGCTAGCGGAGCAGCTCTTAAGGCGTTTGAAAACATCCCATAATAGTTTGAAGCCCTCTGTTCGAAGGATCGATGCGCGGCGATCTTTGCCTGAGAACAAGCGACAGGAACCAACAGCAAGGTAGTGTATCAATAGGGTAATTTAGTATTATCAACTGAGTTGATAATGTAAAAACTAATTGGAAAACAAGATACAATCGCTCTGACGAAGGGTTAACGCTCGAAACGTCAGCTTTTAAATTCTTTACGGTGACCAATTTACGTTATCAACTCAGTTGATAATACTGTTACCTTGTTTTACTCTCCCACCGACGCCGTACCACAGTTTCTTTAGAAACTTACCCCCTTTATTGCATCGATAGTTTCGTAATCATTAACAGTAAAGCACGTGAATCAAATTGTGCACTACTCGATTGAGTGCCCCAAAACCAAAGGAAACACAGCCGCTGACAAGAAAGAAAGACATTGTTACTAACAGCAAATGAGAAATAAAATGTTAAAAAGCCCTTCGTCAAAGAAAAGCGAACAGGTCATTGGTTTTTTGCATCTGACGAAGGACGGAGAAGTCCACAAAGCGCACCGGCCAAAACGTTAAGAGTTTCAAAGCTACGTTTCGAGTGTTAGCCCTTCGTCAGAGCGAATCATCTTTTGCTCTGACGAAGGACTAGCGCCCAAAACGTCAGCTGTGAAACTCTTTATGGTGGCTTATTCACATTGTCAACTCAGTTGATAAAACCAAAATTATCTTGTTATACTCCCCCACCGACGCAGCACCACAGTCTCTTTAGAATCTTACTCCCTTTATTTGAGTCTCAGCCGTCCTCCGTCGTTCTTGATATAACATTTACCGCAACATTTTCCACCCTAGCATCAGTGTGCGTAATCACCATACTGTTCTCCATACATTTCCCAAGGTGCTGACCGGGAGAACTTTTAACAGTCAAGATATTCTATTCCGCTATTCTTGTGACCTGAATGTGTGATTCGTAGCTGATATTATAAGGAGAGATCAGAGGCTAGTCCCTGTAAGAGGTCAAAAGGGTTTAAGCTGTTGACTTTTCAACCTCAATATGGCAACTTTCCCTCTTAAAACAATCTACAATATGCCTTTTCATATCGAATCTGGTGTTTTCCCTCAGCTCACCAGGCTTGGAATTAAAAGGAGATCAAGAGGACGATTTGGAAACTCAGCTGGATGGTAGTAGTTCAGGCTCGGGATCTCCCAGGATTCGTCGCATTTCTTCTGGGAGACTGGCCCCAAGGGAAGGACAGATGTTGAATGAAACGATCAAAACTCACGCCATCGAGGCGGAAGAAATTCTGCACAGTTCAATGGAAGAAGATGACCATGTAGCTTCCGGAAGTCATCACAAAACACATGGAAAGTTTCACACGGTGGGCGCGCTTTCAAACAAACCTTGCACTTCAACGAACTTACAGTTTTCCACTGAGATCACACCCAGTTTACCGTCTCTGTCGCGCCCGCACGAAAGGAGAATTGTTCATCACAATAGGTTACGAAATTCAAACAGTGCTCCTTTATCTTTGAATCAGATTCACGAGGAACGCGAATCGGATCTTGAAGACAGTCCGGTGAACTCACCGCGAGTTGAACGGACAAGAAAACATCTCGGGGGAGGGGTGATCAAATCTAAAAGGACTACACGCCGCCTATCCCCAGTGCCCTCAGGAAGTAGCCGGCGCTCTTCTAGTTGCAGTAGTTCGGACGAAGATGAAATAGAAAAGCACATGCGCAGGCTAAAAACTACTTCCGGTTGTAAATTGAATACCAGGCGCTCTAACAATGACGATGGCAACACGGACGGAGATAGCGGAGGGGGGACTGGAGTTGGAGGAGGCAATAGCCTGCGAACCACATACCCAATTCCCTCGGTAAATGGTGCGAATGGAGAGAAATCTTCGGGTAAAAATCCTTCGTCGAAACAGGGGAATAATGGGAAAACGAGTTGTTTGAATGTGAATATGGGTGTATTTGCACCCCTTTGCGAAGATCTTGATGTTATACAGGAGAGTAACAAAGAAAACGTCGATAGAAATGTGGAAGAACAGGTGAATCAAACTAATGCGGAGATTCACAACGGAAAGAGAAGTTCACTCATCGAAGAATACGGCGTTCTGGCTTCTAAAGGAGATATGTCGGAGCAAGCTCGAAGCAACAGCTTTTTAGAGAAAAGAAACAGCGCATCGAAGTACATTAAGAATAACGATGGGAATGGGGAATGCGACAAAAACGAACCCAACTCGCTGGAAGGCGTGGTTAGTATAGAACTCACAGACATGAGCCTGCAGTCTAAGGATACCAAGCGGCTAGTCGACGAATCCAAGAAAAATATGAGTTTGATTCACAACCCAGCAATTCAAACGGTGACGAGTAACTGTTGTCAAATATTTTGATCTATTTTATTGTAGTTCTCTATGCATACGCTTATGTAGTTCTTATATCTATGTTTTCGGAAAGGGTTTGATTGCAATGTCAGCAAATCTATTTTGAATCTGATGAATTTTTTTTTGGGGGGGGAGGGAAGAAAGGATTTTATTTACTTGTGCATTTTTTCCTTTTTTTTTTTCTTTTTTTTTCAGTTCCGCGTATGGTGATTTAATGGAATATGCAAACGGCGATGACTTTTCTCTGAAGTGATTTGATTTATCGGTGAAGATTAAAAAAGTGGCCTCCATTCTACTAATATTGGGGCAATCTTGCGACGGCAAATAATTTTTCAGGTTCTTGTCTTAAATTCTAAGAAATAACGTTTCTGGGAGGCATCTTATTTCGTATTCACGTGAGGGTCTTTTCGGCCCATAAAGCAAACACAAACTGAAAACGTTTTTATTGAAGTATAGATCGACTCTCGATGGAAGTGAAACTGTTTCTACCGCTGGCTTTAAAGTTCAATTCTGAAGAGTATAAGGAATGATTTTTATGGTTTTTGCACATTTCATTGCCCCTGTTTAGGTGAACGAATGCCCGCTGGACGGTGTGGGGGTGCTCATTAAGTTAATTTGCCTGAGAAGGCTACAAATGAATTATTTACTTGTTTGTATTGACTTGAAATTTATCTGATGGAGTCTTAGAATTGACCTCAATTTCTCAAAAGGTAGATTGGTGTACTGTGGTTTTGATGCAAAACATTGGATAAATTGTTCGCCATGGTAACAAAGAAAGTGGGTGTCAATTAAATTTTTTTATGTCAACTTCTTTTTTCTTTTCGATGACAGCGACTTTGTACTTGTAAATTGCGAGTGAGATTGGTTTATCATTATTTAAATGATCAATGAAATTATCTCCCTTTGGAAATCACAATGCCGAGTTGCTTTCGAAGCTGTTCACATGGTGATTGAGCTTTCGGAGAATTTATTCCGTGCATTGTAATGTTGTTCAAATCTCCTTATTCAGCTAATATTCCTGAGTAAGGTAGTGCGAAAAAAAAGTGCTTCGAGTTTTTTGAGTCTCAAAACAAACTATAATAGGGGCTTATTATTTTAAAGTGCTCTCATTGCGTTTGGTTTGTCAACGTAAATGCGACACCGCAAAGCGATTTTTGATGGAGTGAAGAGGTAATCAAAGACGGCGCTGCTTTTGTCTTGCGATTCATTGATTAGGGAAGAAACCTCTCGCCATCTTTTCAAATGTCAAACTAACTTTGACAACTTTGGTTCTAGTTTCTCGAGCCTTAGTTGACCAGCGCTTTTTTACACCCCAAGTAGCTAGCACTTTGTTAGTCAGTTAAACTACATAAAGAAAACAGCTAAAAGCGTGAAATATCTGTTAAATGACCAGATTAATTACGTTTTTATTCATAGAATTATGTGACGCGATTCCATGAAGAAATGATTTCCCATCAAAGTGTAAACCTTTTAAATTAATACGCGAGAAATATTTAGAGCAATGCCTTAGTATATTCTTTTACCTTTTAATCTGAATGACATCTATCCATATAAATATATATATATGACCAGTATTTTAAGTTATTGAACAGCCTTCTCATAAAATGGCATTTATTGTATCTATGAAATTTATAACGTGTTATGATTAAGTGCCCTTTGGTAAAGACGCATTTAAACAAATGTCATAAATACAACTGTGGCGTCAGCATTCTGTTTTTGTCCATTTGTTGCGTTGTGTGTGTGTGTGTGTGTGTGTGTGTGTGTGTGTGTGTGTGTGTGTGTGGTGTGGGGGGGGGGGGCTGCATTTGCGGGCACTTGCGAGCGAAGTTTGGACAGGGGTGTGACGTGCAAGGCCTCGAACCCTGACCCTACTCAAAACAAAATCCTCTTATTTCTCTGACCCCTTCGAGAAAAGACAGCTCATAGTGACTGGTTGGGGTATATAAGCCGCACTTACTCATTCCCATTTTATTAACTCAGACGGTTGAGGACAAAAATAGTACCACACGTGTGTGATCTCTATCGACCGAGCATCGTCATCGTCGTACCTCAAGGGAGACTGACGCGGGTATTGGGAGCTAGCTCGTGGGGTCAACCCATGGCATGTTAGGAAATTATTTGCCAAGCGTTACTCTAGAACCTGCGGCATTGAAGTACTTACGGGTTTCTGGCCATGCCTCTGGGGTCAACGCAAGATGATGGCCGCTGCTAAAGCCTCGAAACCCCGAAAGCAGGCACATCCGATATGGCCTAACATGAGGATGGCCCCACCCCGATGTAATGCACCGAAATAACTATGGAAGACACTATTTCTAAATCATTAAAATTACAATTTCCTCGAATGTTATTAGTTAAAAACTCCTATTTTGCACGAATTCACTTGCCGAGTTGTTATCTGATAGTTTTTTATCGGACAGTTCAATGAGCCAATCACATTCAAACTCGTGATAAGCAAACCACAGTTACGCTGCGTGGTCGCCTGACTTTCTTATCACTCGTATAATGACAGACCAAGTTGGACTCCACTCAGTCCTATCACCAGTAACTATTCCCACAACGTATTGATGAGTTACAAAACTTTATGGAATCATGCTTCGTCAACTAATCAATAGCAATGACCATGATGATCTTGCGTAATGAAGTTAATGGTTGCCATTAGTTATCAGAAGTTACGTTGATTTTTAAGGCGCAATTTTTTTAAATGCATCGGAAATCCTTGAATGAGCACTTTTCCTCGAATCAGCACCCATCCTATCGGGTCAAATTAAAAGCAAGCGAAACCCTTCGGAGAGAAACCCTCCCTCAAAGCACTGTTGACAAACATACTCGCTGTTTTACAATCCTAGTCTGGAGCACAGAGCATGAAAATGAATGTCTGTTTGCTACGCAGGACTATTGTTGCAAACCCACCTCCTTGGAAGATTGAAGGGAAGTAAGATTATGTGACTAGGGTGTAAGATCAGGACGGAAGTAACAATTCAAAATAAGTTTCATAAACGCAAAAAAAGTGCAACTATACCGAATTATGCTATGTGTTTTCAAACGTTGCAAATATTTGGGATGTTTTACTTTTGTAGGGGATAAAGCATCATCTTTTACAGTTAAGTATATAATGCGAAAAGGAAATTTCAAATAAGTAGTCATTGTTTGAAATTTAATTCATTTGCATCCTTATGAACAATTACAGCTTCATTTCCATGTTTTGTCAAACTTCAAGACCACTTCCAAATATTTCCACTTTTCATTAGCCATTGCTTATTTATTTGTTTATTTTATTTATTTATTTATTTATTTATTTTTTGTTTGGTTCAAGTAGAGCGGTTTCGAATGACTGCCGGGAATTCAAACAAGTAAGCATGCAATCTGAACAATCACAACAAATTACAGCGCTGAAATTAACCAATCAGAACTCGTAACACAACCTGTCCCTCGCCACGCGCGCGAAAAGAACTATGTTCCGATTAGTCAAGATCAACTCTGTGCCTGTTATGATTAGTCAAGCTACATGCAAACTTGTGGTTTTCTACAGTCATCGAAAACCGCTTGGTTCAGAGATCAGTCTTAGTCTGAGAAGAAATCTTCCCAGTCGTATTTGACTCTCTCCTTTTCTTCGTCTCCCCAAGACTCGTCGCTGCTATCGCCGGAGGCTTTGTAAGTTTCCATATCTCGAAGGTCAGCTCGGATTTCTGCCTCCTCCTCCTGTAGTCTTCGAGTCACCTAGAACCGCAAGAAAGTGTAATCAGCCCCCATAGCAATGAATGTTCTTCATGCCCAAAGTCTCCTAAATCGCTCTTCCTTAAATCATAGATCCTCCTACCCAGTCAGGGTGCTAAACCCGAGTTTGACATCAAATGTTACTTACTCTATCTTTGACTTTCTTGGCGTACTTCTGTTTCATCTTATTCCGCTTATCAATCTTCATTTGCCGTTTTACTTTTCTCTGCTTGGTCTGCTCCTCTTTCTGTTCAATAGACAACTGAAGCCGGTCCCTGGCGAAGGCCTGTGCTTCTGCAATTCTGCTCCTATTTCGGGAAGTTTTGCTCCCAGCTCGTCTTCGCTTCTCCATTTCTTCGCTACGCTTTCTTTCCGCAGCTGCTTGTTTAGCGGCGATTTTTACAGCAGTGGCTCGGGCAGAAGTCTCCGAAGGGTGTGGTCGCCCCAGCCTAGCCCTGCTACGAGCACTCTCTCGGACGCGCTCCAACTCCTTCAGCTTCCTCTCCTCAGCAGCACGCATCTTCTCTTCCATATCCTCCAAATTAGGCTCAGGTGCTACTTTACACTGTCTGAAGCGCCTTGGAACTTTTGCAGGCGGACAGACCGATTTCGCTTTTCCAGCAGGAATGTCAAATGCCACTGCGGCTTGCGTTTTATTTGGAACAGAGGAAACGGCTGAACTGAAGGGCTTGACGGCTCGGGTAGTATTGGAGCTGGACGAGGAAGCACAGAGTTGAAAAGTAAGTATTTCACGAGCAGTTTCCAACAATTGATCATCGCGATCCAAAACACGGAGCCGATCTTTGCTGTTGTTCATGCGCGCGGCAGGGAATATGTTTCTACTTTGGTCAACCAATGCGCGCACGGCAGATTCTGTTTCATCTAGCGACGAAGAATCAGTTTCGTAGGAAGACCCCTGCTTGAAAGAGCTGGTGCTGGGGATTTTTCCCATAGAACGAACGCTCGATGCACTAGTTTGAAGTCCATCTTTAGAAAACTCTTTGTCTTCATTCCTATCCACGTCTTCCTTGGCCAACCTTTTCTTACACAGAGCCTGGTGTGGCTCCGTAAAACTGATGTTTCCTGAGCGTATCTTGTTGGTTGGATTCTTAAACTTCGACAGAAGTGATCCACACATCTTTTTTTGTATTCCAATTTTGAAAACACTGCTACAATAGCTGCAATAACGAGCACTTCTCACAATCACTTGCGAAATGCCCCAGCCGTGTCAGCGATTTGCCGAAATTGTGTTTATTCTTCGTTGCCCTGGATTCACTTATTACGTACATCACGACGTGACGTAAAAAGCGCGCGCAAGAGCCCAAACGCGACGTACACACCGGTTGAACATCTGCGCATGTGCAAATGCTGTAACGTACTTTTAGGCCGTCTGAACCAAATTGTCTCACACAAGTTACCGATCAACCACATAAGCCAGTAAGTCACGGTGTTTAAAAAGCGTATAACGTTTTTGATAAAACTTAAGACCGAATGTTAAGTCAACGGAATACCCGCACTTAAATAAGCTTTATGTTCGAAAAGTCTCGAGTTTTCCTTTGCCTACTTTTGTTTCCTTTGACAGATTTCAATGATTATTTTAATTTTCTTTCACTTAATTTCGTAACACTTGCTCATTCACATTTTTCCGAATTCTAGCACATTTTTCATTCATTTACTCCAACCTCCTTATGTTGTGTCTGTCTTGTGTCGCAAGGGATGAAAAAGTTCGCGCCAAAATCCCCGGCGGGCGGTTACCAAGTGCCGTGTGCATTCGTCAGCTTTGTCGAGGTTAACCTTCGCATAGTCCGTCGCTTCTCAAAATATTTACTTTCAATTTGAGTGTTAAGAGGTGAATAATCGTACATTGCTCAGTAAAAGAACTATTTCCATCCACTGACCTGTACTTATATGTCAAATTTTCACATTATTTTGGACAGGCTCTCCAAATTGGTGATAACAAGACTAAACTTTTGGCTTTCAGGTCAAGGGATTGAGCTGGACTCAACACACTCATATGAAGAGAATCAAGTTAGCAAAGACGAGGTAAAGAATATAAATATGTTTCGGAAATATCCCGAAAAAGTGTTTTTTTATAGTTCAATGATAATTTACTAAGTAGCTCTTCAAATGATTGTCAGCATTTCAAGGATTGATGTGAAAGTAATTCACACACCCAGTCTGCATAAATTTATTGTCATGAGAAGTTAATTTTTCCCTTTATTTTCCATCCTTAGTGATTTAATTTTTATCGAAAATGATTTGTTAGAGAACACAATGTAGCCGTGCTAGCAAGCTTAGACCCATTTTCAAACTTAAATGATAACTGCAGTGATATTGTTTTGATACTTTGATGCATATTAGCCATTCGTTCTTCATGGCGAGAACACTGAAAAGTGGAGGGTTCCCGGGGAAATAACTTTTCATAGCAGACGTTCAAATGTGAATGAAAATTTGCCACAGTGGTCGACATATACGTTAGCAATTTGTAAACTAGAATATTATACAAAGTACTCTCTGAACTAAAGCATAGAATTGATCGTGTCTCTTACAGCCGGTCGTAAGCAGTGAGAACCTTATTCTTAACAATTTTCCATGACATTTTTTTTTTTCATTTTTTCGGCAAAGATCATTCCCTCAGTCAATTTGGCTTTTTTTTCCTGAAAATCTCAAAGTCTTTCATTTCACAACCAAAAGTCTTGTGATCACATTCATAAAAGCATTTGGAAAGTAAAGGACATAAAATCACACCGTTGCTGTCAATGTTTTTCAGTGAAATGAGCAATCGGAAATAAGCGGTGGATCCTCTCTTGAGTGCGCCTTTATTTCTAAACAGGTTGACACTTCACAAAGGATTTTTCTCTTTCTGACCCCTTCCCCCTCGGAAGCCCATGACCGTCAATTCCTTGTACACCCTCTCGATTTTTTACGTCACCCTTTATAATTTCAGCCAGGTTTTAAACAGATTATGATGTGTAAATAACTTTTGGCTTGTAGATTAAGACCGCCAATGACTAGAGTGGTACGCAATCAAAAACCCAAAGAAAGTCTTTCAGTCATTTATAGCTGAATATCGCTTTTGTGTTGGAAATGAGTCGAATTTCTCCCTTCTCCCGCCCCTTTAGTTCACTTTCGCCCCACCCATGCCTTCGCATGGCTTTCGCTCCATTCGCCTTCTCCTGTGAGAAGACACTATACAGCATATTTTGGTGATTGTATAAAGGGTTGATTAGAATTGCCGATTGATGGTAGAAAGATATTTTGGATAGCTCTGGTTTTGTGTTACGAGCTTTGCTCTGTGATTGATCAGAGAATCTCACGCCTCTGTCTGAGCCAATCTGGTGCCAAACCAAAACTAACGGCGACTTGGTCGATGGCGTTTTCCCGCGCTTTAGAAAGTTTGAGTTCTCACTGCCTTCTTGTGATATTTACTAAGCTCTGATTGGCCGTTGCGATTGATTTGTTTTGATCAAGAAAGGCTCAAACTAGTGATAGTTCAAGAAGTTTTCAGCCCCTTCCACGGAGAGGGGTTTTTGGTGCTGTAATGAAAAGCCATAAAATGTTTACTTGGTGATGGTTCAGGATAGGATTCAGCGAATTCCATTTCGAGTCAACTAATTTTGAAATGTAGCTACCCTTGGTATGCCAAGGGGAAAAAATTTGGCAGATTCCCCCCTCCTCGGTACAAGGCGGTAATTGTTTATACAAACGAAATTTCCTTCGTGAAAATTGCCAGCACAATATTGAAGCGTAACTATAATACAATGCATTCAACATTAGGAGATTGTGTCAGTCAAGCGAAATATGGATAAGGAGACTCCTGAACGAGAATTTTCAAATAACTTCACAAAATCCACCCATGTCGCTTCGAAGACTCGTACATACAAACCCAAATATCTTAGCAGCTGACGCTTTTGCTGCTTTTATTTGAAAACCAGTCAAACTGATAGCGAAGACTCTGGAATATGTGTATGAAATATAGAGTTATTGTCAATAAAATAATTTTAAATACTTACCTATCATACAGGTGAAACATTCTTATCCGATCAGGCTTTATCTTTTTTTTCACATTTTCGGCTGATCTTCAAAAAACTATCTTCATCTTTTGTTTCCTTGAAGAAAAGGATTCTTGTACGGAAACGAATGTGTTGAATTTAATTCAGTTTATCAGTTACAAAACCTCTTTCTAGTTAAAAAAAGCGAGGTAAAACATGTTTTTTCACCTTTTGATATGTTGTGCCCATTCATCAGATCAATTGTGGAATCATTCGTCAGAACTACTACAACTGATGCGCTCTTTTAAGCAAAAAAAATAAAAAAAAGTAATTGAAGAGATTTTAGCTACCAGACGAAAAAAATTCTCAATATTTGATTGATGTTTTTACCTCCCTCATCAAAACCCTCAGTGATAATCCTTGTTTCATCAGAACAGTTAATCCTTTTGCATTTTAAGATCTTATTTTCTCCAAAGCAAATTACTGAAAAGCAGTACCTCTCGATTGATAGATTGTTAGGCATAATTTTGTGTTAATTTTTAATCATTCAAGGCCGGAGCACAGAGGGAAACTAAAGCAATTAAAAATCAAGTACTTCCGTGAAATTTCTTAATAAAGTATATAACTTTTTTGAAGGTTTCAATGCAAGTATAAATGGTTATAATTTTTGTCCAGAAAAAAAAAACAGAAGCTGCAAGACTCTCTACGTCTTTTTTAAAAACTGAACGTGAAAGTTATTCCGTTCAGAGTTCAGCATTTCTCGAATATTTTCATTATTTACGCGGCTCAAACGTGTTGTTTACTTTGGCTTAAAATTAGTTTTCACCTGTACTTCTCCAAGCGGCATTAATTTCCAGATCAAAGCTTATTCATCTTTTTTTTCAATTTTACTAGGTTTCGTTTTGATGTGATAATAATTGTTAACTTTAAAAAAGCCTTTCATCTTGTGGTTTTTTCTCGCCAAAGTGCTGTCAGGGTTTCTCCTTGAGATGTAAAACTCAGATCAAAATTGAGAATCTTGTCTAATTTGCAGGATTTTGTCATGTTCAAATCCTTCTCTTTAAGTGGCAAATTGATTTCTTATTGAAGGAAAAAAGCGCTGGTTCCATGAGATAAATTAAAATATATTCAGATCCAATTGGAAACAATACGTGGAGGAAATCGCAATTTGTTGTACTTATGTTTTCCTGTTCTGTAATTACACGTAGAAAAGTAGTCTCCAAAATATATGAATTCACAGCGTTTTCATATTTACCATTCTTTTAACGCACTGCAGACGGCCCCCGTAACTTTGCTACCACGCGCAATTTAAACGTTTTATGACAATGACATGCTAGCTTTAACTGTACTTCAGGCGCTTAAAATCCCAACCGAAGTACAGGGTAGGAAATTGACTTTCGGCTCCCAACTGAGTTGAGAAAAGAGCAATTACTCAGATGTCATCAGCCGTCTTCCAGAAGAAAAACCCATCATAAATTTTCCATGCAATTAAGATAAACAGTGGCTAAATTGGTGAGAACGTGCGAGAAATCTTGCTATTGATTCAACCATCTTTATCGACTTTTTTTAACCCGTCTAAAGGAGAATGTTTTATTGGAAAAGATGCATTGGGGAAAAAGATGTTTAAAATGTTTAATGCAGAGAAAAGTGAATCGTGGTTAATTTTTTTTAATCTTAGGTTTTATTCATTTGTTGTCCAATTGCCCACAGTGTCACCTGTCTATTTTTTTTTTCGTCCGCCAAAGGGTTTTTTTGTCCTCTCAAGTAACGTCAGCTGAGAGGCCCAATAACTGCACCTGCCTCACAACTTCATTAATTATACCTCAGAATATTGATTAATGTTGAAAGTTACAATTATCGCTATCAGGCGTAATATTCGCGTGTTTTACGAATTACTAAATTTGAAAGAAAACACCTTATTTTGTCCAATTTTCTTTTTGTTTTTGCTTTCTCTTACTGAAATTGTTGTGTTCATTTTCATAAGAAAAGCTACAATTTCCCGCGAATGATTATTACCGACAAAAATTACAATGTTTTAAAATGACATTAGGTTTCGCTCGATCTGTCAAAGTGATTAAGAATGAAAATGTGAATTTGTGATGGATTGGTTCGTTTCGCGTATTTTTTGCATTTTTTCCCCGCTTTGAGCACCTGCTGGTGATCACGTGATCACTCCACTTTTCACAAGCGGCTAATCGCATGTTGAATTTAACAATCAAGACGACGAAATAGTGGATGTTTGCCCGCCCGCCCGCCACATGTAAACAAATATGAGTTTTTGTGAATGCATTTATTCCGCCGAACACCTGCAAGGTACTGTGACCGTGAGTTGGTTTTGATGTCGTACAGTTGCGCGGCTGATATAGCTGTGACCACCTTGCCAGCACCAGAGACGAACGTCGACTATGAGCGAGGCCTCGCTGTTTTAAACGACGAATGCTACCAAAGAGACAACAGCTTCATCTGATTCGGGTTCAAAAGCTGCCTACTATGCTTGAAAGCGATTTATCGAAGCTTTATCCCACACAGAGACGATCATGTGAGTTGAAAATGTTCCTATTTTTTCTTTATTTCATGCCTCAAATTTGGCGGAAGCGCTTTCTTTTTTATTTTCGTACCATGACTTGCATTATTTAGACGCTTTAGAAGAGGGTGTTATTTTCAGAGCACAATATTGGAAAGCTTCGTCTCTCGAGGAAATACAAGTTTTTTTTTTTTTTGGGACATACAATTTTGCTTAATGTGAAAAATACAGCGTTTGAAACACTGTTATGGTACAACGTACTATCAAAAGTTTAAAAAGAAACGAAACAAATTTTGCATTCAAATCCCGCGTAAATTATTTTGAACATCTGAAATCTGAAATGAATTATGGTTTGTAAGGGAATAGTTCATGAGATTTTTATCACAATCTCTACAAGATGGCAGTCCGTGTTTTTGAATCAGAATATCAATTTTCTTCGAACAAGTCTATTTTTCATTGAATACTGCAAATCAATAGATACTGTTTTTACAAGCTCATATTTGAATTACAAGCAGCATAGATCGTAAAATTTTGCTGGGTTGGCGGTGAAAATATGTGCTTGTAACTGAGTTCACGGGCAAAACCTCAGGTTGTTTTAAATCGCTTCATGAATAAGTAATATTTATTTCTGCAGCTTGTTAGACACTTCAGTATGGCCAACCATTAAGCGTAATTTAAGTCCCTGGAAAGCGGTTTACTTTGCCTCATTTTGACAAAATATATCATCAGGAAGTTTAGCCTAACGCCACATTTCATTTTACTGAATATGGAATTATTTCGCCGAAATCTCCTTACGTGATCAAGCGATCTAAATGAACAGTTTCGATCGCTATGAGAGAGGGTTTTTGTTTAAGACCGGACATGCGATATGCTAAAGATGATTTTGATTAATCGTGCACGCGACAAAACTCAGACGAACACTTCTAATGGACCATGTTTTCGTCTTAGCAAATGAAAGTCCATTTCACGCACATACACAAAAAAAATTCCATTTAATGTCTTCCTTTCATAAACTACGACCATAGATTTAACGATATAAACAGCAAACGTGACCTGCAATTTTTCTCACTCACAATTCTTCTGTTTTATGCTAGTTCGGTTTTGTTTAAATTTGCCTCATTATGAATTTTGTCCCTTTTTACCCTCAGTCATACATAATTAGGACAAGATGTCAAAGTGTTACTATGAGACGTGGTGTTGTCCTTTGTGATGAACACCCTTTGCTGAGCCAGTTTCCCGCGAAACGCATCTTTCACGCAAAAATGCAGTCTCTTGGCAACAGATTTCATCTCGGGTATCTTTTACCTAAGGGGTTCCTTATCTGTAACAGACAGAACGTCGCTTGGCTATATCCGTTTGTCATGCCTACCCCCGCGATTCTGACAAATTTGCATCGCGACGATTTGAAAGTCATTCTAAAAAGCGAGTGTTTGATAATCAATACTATTTTACTCCCCAAAGAGTAGCAAGGCAGCTGAGTATATTCCGTAAAGGTGACTGAACAAACAAGCCTGTAGCCTGATTCAAACATACTGTGCTTCACACAAAGTGCGAACCCACACAAGTAGCCTTGGTTGAACTGTCAATCATGTCGTCATGGAAATTTAAGAAGATGAAGAAATATTTTATAGTTCGAAGGAAAAAGATCTTTTTAGTCGCAAACCATCGGGCCAAAGACTGAGTTTTATACAGAAGCTAAAGTTCAAGGCTTTTCATAAATTTTCCCGCCTGATATTTAAAGTTCTGTCTCAATGGTGTTTGAATAATAGCCGGAAAATGCTTTTCAAAGTAAAACTGACAATATTTCATGAAACCGTACACATTTTCCAGGAAAATTTTATAGATTTTACTTCTAAATTGTTTTATCTTTTTTGTTAGAGATGTAAAGGAGAAACAAACAACTTTCAAGAAATTTACAGCTCTTGTGCTGCTCAAAAATAGATTTGTTGCAAAAATAAATATTCATCGCGCTTCAATTTATTTCATTTTTGTAATGATTAGAATACTTTGAGCAGATGGCGCTCTTTAACTAATGTGGGTTATTACGTTAATACAAATTAAAAATCCCATTTGCAACACATTACAAAGTTCTAAAGCTGGCTGAATTGAAGGGGTTCTAAATGCATACCGTTTCAACTTGCCAATCCAAAAGAGAAACACGGTGTTACTTTAGCATTTAAAACGATGATTTTAAGTTACATTGAGAACGTCTGTCAAATTAAGGTGGCACTGTCACCATAACTACATCCAAGACTTAGAAAAATTTCTTATTTTAATTGTTATTTTTTACTCTAATCTTCGTCTATTAATAAATATCCGTGTTTTTCGATTAACGGTCAAGGAAGTGCATAGAATTATTACTTAAAATTTTGCTGTTGTTTCTGTTTTTTAAACCCTGGAAGCAGAGCATAATTTTGGGCGTATTCTTCAGTTTAGAAACGCCATAGTTGACCAAGTGTTGCTGAAACTAAGAAGCCAGAGTAAAAATTCTTAAGTTTTTGTAGTGACTTACTAAATTCTTCAAGATGGATCTTTTTGTTGGAATATTACTTTCTTACGTAAATAGATAAAATCGACTTGCCGAGAACCGAAATGGAAGTTGATTGCTGTTTTTCAGGCCGGAAGAACGAAAAGAAACAAACAAAATTCAATAAATACATGCGATCGTGGACTGTTTTCGGTTTCAGACGAGATGCTCTGCTTTCAGAAGCAATTCTCTCGATTTAAGCGAACGCAATTGCGCTACTTAAAATTCTATCAAGCTTTAAGAGTAAAAGTGCGCGAGGGTAGATGGCTATACGGCACTTGTCTGGTATTCGTGCGGTTCACAGTGGTCTGCATTGAAGTATCACAAATGACGAAGCTTTTTGATTTGTCACTCTTTTTTCATTAGTGACTGGAATAGGATTCAAATTACAGTTTAACTTCTTACGTTAAGCTCTTACACCTGTGCTTTTAAGGTTTAAGCGGTTGCCAATCAACGCGACAGCCGATCTGAGCACACGTGTGCACTATAACGAAGCAATCAAGGAACGAGGCGGTCGTTGAGTGCGGATAAAAGCGATTACTTCAGTTTCATCAGCGTTTTTGGTGCTTTAATTGGTTGAGAGTAAAGAACACCATTAGATAAAAGATCTTCGTACAATTTTTCCTGGAAGACTTTTTTCCTAAAAGCCATTTGTCACAGATCTTTAATCCACCAGATGATTGTCTTTGACTCTGATCTCGTGCAATTCTGGTGATGTCAATACGTTAAGATACACATTTCAACTCACTAGAATAAAATTCAAAGATTTGTGATAGATCTGTATGTCAACCACGCTATTACCGCCTGTGTGCAAATTTGAGACTGACAATGTTGCTGACATGAGTTACGCCAACGCACGGAATGTTATCATAAAACTTTTCATTCCTCAACAATTTTCTTTCGTGAATGCTTGAAATTACATTGAGTTTGGGTTGGTACTCTTTGGAACACTGGGAGATTTTTAAGAAATCTCTTCTCAGTTTCCCGGTTTTTAAATTTTATTGAGACTTTTTCGTTCGGACAGAACCAGACATACACTATTACGAAAGTGTCCTGATACGAAGTTTGGTGGGGTCTGGGCTGAGGACGTGGAACTCACGTGCTCGCATAATCTTTTTGCGTGACTTGTGCATGAGTAGTTAACATCCTACTTTTCATATCCCGCATAAAACTGGTGGCGAACTCAAACTGCTGTAAAACAGCGTACAAGGCCTCCTTCACGTGCCCGGGCAAGGTTTTACGTCCAGTTACAGCTGTTTTATGTGTCACTATTGCAGAAACTTCTCGACACCCTATAGAATGAATGACTTAGATTTTTTTTGTCCAGTTTTGCCCATTGTGAGAGATCATTGAGAGGTCCCTTAAAAGTCATGCGACACGTGCTCTAAAGGTTTTGGATCCAGGTGAAAGTGTTAAGTTTGTTCATTATCATCACCCAGTTTCTGGATAATGCTTGGCGGGTTCAAGGGCAAGGTACAGTAATGGTCCTGACCCTCGGCTTCCTTGTAGGAAGAAAACTTGTAGGTTTTTTACTACTTGTCTGAGACCAAAAGTCTTGTAAGGGCAGTGCTCTGGGTAATGAAAGGAGAGATTCAGCTTACAGAAAAGTATGGTTTCTTTTCGATGATATGGTTTAAATCACAGTGTTACGGTTTAAAACAATTTTAGAAAAGAAGTCCTAGAGAAAGAGGTTACTTGTTTGAAACGACGGAAAAGCAATGAAGACAACTTTAACGTTATTGAAAATTTCAAATTTAAGAGAGTACAAATTTTATTGGATTGAGCATGCCGAAAGAAGCACTCTGGGCCAAGAAATGAGAAAAAATAAAAACACCAAAAGAAACATTCCCTCCATATCACAGTGTTGACATAACATGCCCCAGACAAGAATTATTTAAAAGAGATAGAGAGAAAAACACAGAGAAAACAAAAGATAGCACCTGCTGTTCAGCTTGTAAGATACCTGCTCTTCTGCCACCAATATCGTCTCACGGAAAGCTGGTTTCGGTCGACAGCGAGGGCAGATGTAGATCTGTCCGACACTTCTGTGAAATATCACGTCAACACGTGTAACACCGAGCGACAGGTTTGGAGAAATTCTCGAAGACTCACACAATGGCTGAATATCTGTCGACTAGATTTAAAGACATGCTGGTGTCTTAATATTACTTATGTAACTAATAGTGGATTTTAATTAAAGGATAATGATGATGAGAGGAATTTTTTTCATTGTCTTTCGGGGTTTACTGCCGATGTTGTAAGGTAATTTATTGCAAATTGCACGCAACTTTTTTTGTAATATGTCATTAATACGGGTGCTTATTGTTTTAGAAATTGTTTATTTTGATCGAGCAAAGTTCGCGATTATGAGGTGTTTTAATTTGAGTTAACTGCACATTTAAGCGTCGTGTTTTGTGATGATCTCAATTGGAAGTCAAAGGTTCAACAGCTTCATCTGCAATCAGTTTGTAGAAGTCACTTGGTTGTAAAATTGATTGGTAACTGAAATGAAAGTTTGCGTTGAAACTGGCTCGGAGGATTATCCCACTGCAGTTTATACACTCTTTAGCAAATTAAGACATGAAGTGAAACGAGAATTTTTAGCAGAACTTACAACAGGTACAAAACTGCGTAAAGCTGGAATATTTTCATGTTGGATTGTGTTTTGTTCCGGGTAGTTGCACGTGTTTCTTACAGGTGCCTGACACTCAGAGATTCTTTTGTGGGGACTCATTCATAGATGTAAAATGAAACGGTGGGTAACTTTCAAAGACAATTCCTTGCTTCCATTCAGGTTTAAAACTACATCAGTAATAGCAGTAAAGATAACAACAACATCATCAAGGACAACAACTCACTCACAACTTGTGTTTTAAAGAAAATCACAGGCACTTTGCACAACCTTGTCAAAAATACAACACGTGTTAAAATTGTTTGTACATCTCATGCATAATAAATAAACTTGCTGAACTTCTGTACCTGCCCGTCAAATCGTAACTTCATCTAACGGCTGTTTCGAGTTTTCTTAAAAGACTAAGTCAAATGTCGTGGTCACTGTTAAATCTTTATTCTCAGTCAAAATCAATAGAGCAAGTTTAGATAAAGTGGGTGATTTATGTTTAAAGGCGGGCCACGCACTGGCCGAACTCAGGTAAGAGAGTGGTATTGACTGCAAAAGCGTAAAAAAAGTTGAAAAAATGCTTTACGTTCGAAACTGTATGTTGCAATCGAGTTTCGTCAAAGCTAAAAATGTTTGAGCCAAACAAAGTCTGTATCCAAATTAGATGTCCGGGGTCTATCCATGTGCAGTTGAGGTCTTGTTAAGGCTCCTCACAGATCTATTTATATTTCTCCAAAGGTCGAATAAATAACCTTAAAGTCTCCCAAATGAATGGAATAAAAGATCCTAAATAAGTCAGTTACAATGCCAAATTTCTGGCATCGATTTTTGGTCGACGAACGCGATTTTTATTCACAATATTCCGAATAGGATGCTTTCGTCTTTACTTATCCATGCAGTATACAGGACAGGCTCGTCACATGTGAACTTTTCAGAGTACAACTCGAGTGCCAAAGAGTTTTCTGTAACTTAGATCTTGAGTATTCAACTGCGAAATAGCAGAGAGATCTAACTGATTGATCCTCCGATGGGATGCATATTTTCAGTTCTGTCTCACGATAGTGAAAAGTGTTTTATATTTCAGCGATAGTGGAGATACACATCACTCGGTAACTATTAGAGGCAGCCCACGAATTTTTTCTTCTTTTAACATGGTGTAGACGAGAATTTTGAACTAGTTTACATGTGACCATGGAGACCTCTGAATTGTTAACAACCGTTTCAAATCCACTTAGTCGCGGGATTGTTTGGTTAAACAGCTTAGTAAAGTTGTAGAAGAAGACGAAACATCTAATATCAGCCCCAAATCTTTCCTACACAGTACATATAGTTATCGAATGTAGCCGTATGATTTTTCAATTTTATCAAATTTCAAAGCAAACCGGACGTTGGGATTGACATGTAAAATATTTATTGCCTCCAAATATCATTAGATGCCCTATACACAATAGAGAATGATTGACAGACAAGAGGCTCAATGACAACACACACGCTAACAATGTAAATTGAAAATTTTAGAATATATGTTTCGCGTGTACTTCTTTAATAAGCGTTTGTTTCAAGAAAAAATCAAATTTTTGTTTGGAATACTGTAATTTTTCAAAGCTTGCCAAGATTACGGGTCTTACACTCGAAGCAAACTAGCTGCCAAGTTTCCTAAAAATAAATGGCGAGACTAAAACCGGTTTTTTTTAAACGCCAGCAGGCTAGGTTATTAGTGGATGTGAATGGTTTTATTAAATTATGTAAATTGAAAGAAACATTTCAATTTTCATGGCAACCAAATTTTCCCTTTTTCCCCCAAGGGGTCAGATCTAAACTCTATTTTGAAAACTGAACTAGAAACTTCTGAAAAGAAATGTGGAATTCTACCCTTTATCTGAGGAAAAATTTTGGGCAAATGAAAGGCCTTTGTGATGGTTCATTCGTAGAAATTATGTAAACTCGGGACCCTTTCATTTTACTCGTTAAATGGTTATAATGCAATATTTTTGTATTACCATGCAACGATTTTCAATGCACGAAAAATTCACATGGCGTAATTTAAAGTCGGAAAGATTAATGTTTTTCGTAAAATACATTCTGTGAATAGCAATTTCTTTGTTGAGTTTGATAATAGCCTTGATGTATATCACCAACCGAATTGAAAAAATCCGAAGAATCTCATTTCTTTGCTAATAAGCAAATTTTAAAAATTTCCAAAAATAGCATTTTTTTACATCTTAGACTGTATCTTACATCCTAGCCTGAGTTATTTCAAGCTTGTATACTGAGGTCAGTAAATTGTTATTAGCTTCTTTTGCATCGATTTTTCGTTTTAAATGGTTTTCTCCAATATATCATGAATTTAAATGGAAATATTCCTGGGTCAGGAAAGGCAAAGAAACAACTTGAAAACATCAAGGATTTCAAATGTGGCACATATTGAGATTCGGGTTATGACAGAACCCTTAAATTGAGACTTCCAGAATATTTATTTTAATTTCATCAAACAGGTTTCAAAGCCTCAAAAAAAAAATCACAAAACATATAAATAAGAATAACGAGGACACCTCGATCGTGTTAAATAAATTCACGTCTAGATTTAGTTTTATCACAGTTATTTTATTCATGTATGTAGAAACAAAGATGGGAAGTGGAAAAACGCAAAAAAAAATTAATTGTGGCTCCGAAATGTCGGAGGGGAATTGACTGTATGTCGTCAGTGAAATGGCAGTATTTGTTTAAGGGTCCTCTTCAAATCCGGCATCTAAAAACTGGAAATACTTGAGCGCGTTATCTTTTGTTATAGACTTGCAGCAGCGTCCAATAAAAGATAGTTTGACGTTTTCTGTTTTCCACTTCGCCTTTTTTTCCTGTCAGCTTTTAGCGCCTACGCTTTTTAGACTCTCAGAAAGCCATTTCGCTTTTTTAGCGACAAAACTAAATTGCTTGAGAGCAATTTTTACATAAACTGAAATCCAAATTGGAAACAAACTCATTGCATCAATTTTAAGAAGCGTGCACGAGCGTTTTGAAGTTTGTGAGGAAAAAGACTTACTAAAATATCTAAGACCGAAATAATGCGCGCCGGATGGTTGAAAACAAAGATAACTTTCAGTTGTGTTCAAAAAAAAATATTATTATTTTTTGGTATAGGCACCCCACTAGAGACTATTCCTTGGACATTGATGGGTTTTCTTTGCCTTAAAGTTTTGCATAACGGGAGCAGATGTTTTCCATAGAATCCCGCCAATCATTTTCCCGAATTTTATTACTCTTATCGAATCGTAAAACCGAAGATTATTTATATTCTTGAGTTTTTATTTCTGTGAAGGGCCTAGAACTTCCTAAAAGATTTGACGATGAGGTTTAAAGTGAAATAAAATTGTTAGCCTCGTCAGCTGAAAGCGACAACGGGGGAATAGGGAAAGAATAGCCAGAAAGAGCCCGACCCTTTGTTAATAATGTGACCTCCGAAGTCTGCGTAAAATCGCCGTTCTCCATTTAAGGAAAGTTCTACTACAGGTGCAACAAAATCGTTCGCTTGTGTGAATTTCTGAAAGTTTTAGACGCATCATAAGCGCAAAGCTACATAACAACTCCGGTAAGAGAAATTCGCGCTCTCGATGCCAACGTGTCTAAAGCCTTACTTTACGGCCATGAATTTTAAAGCAGAGATCTCTAAATCTATTAATTCGCTGGCGCGCCTTGCTGATGTCAGAGAGGCAGATGTAAATAATTCACGGAATTATATCTGTCAAATGCCGAGCTTTCGTTAATTAATGATGACATGCACTTTGTGTGGGCAGCTGCTACAGATGCCTTAGGTTCCCGGATGTGCAGGTGGTGATTCGCGCGCGCGAGAAAACTTCACTATTCGTTACGCCTTGCTTTGCTATACAAGTTTGTTGGCGAGACAGCCGCCGCTCTGAATCTTCAATACAACGCCTTTTTTTTTCTTTTCACCGAAGGATCAATGAAATTCGTCGGCGGAATGCATCACCACAAATACAACGGTACGAATTCTTTTTATCTTTAAAATGAATTTGCCATTGATTTTTCCCCTTGCATTTATACCGTACTCACTATTTTGTCAATATAAATTTTCCGTAATTTTTTTTTCGCTGGTGGTTGCAGGAAGAAAGAAATTAAAATATCACTGAAACCATTTAAATTTCGCTGTAGGATTTTTGTTTCACCCTGAGAATTTTTTCTCAGTGACCCAGTCACAAACAAAAAAGAAAAAAAAAATTCGAGTAAATCCCCCGTCCGTTTGGTATCTTTGTGGTATAATTTTTTCATGTCGTTGGGAAAGTAATTACGGGCATACAGTTGGCCTTGTTGAACGCCTCACCGCCTTACCACCACTTAGAAGGCCTTGTGTAAATAAAACATAAGTTGTCAGTGGAACGTTTCGACAGGAGAAAACAGCTCGTTTTCTTTAATGTCCTTAGTGAGTGGTTGAAACAGATGTACACACGATACAATAACTACACCAACAATCGAATAATTTGCACGTGCAGGAATCGGCCAATCACAATCCAGGTTGAATTGCAGGGTTTACCGGTTATCGATTTATTCTTTTGCTTCTCATCAGAGATCCAACAAAAACAATTTAAACAAGCTATTTTGAGAGTTTTTGTATTTTATTTTCGTGCTTTTTATCCATTATCGCATGTTTTCGTGTTTTTTGGTCATGCGATCATTATGTTTTTCGCAAAGTAGGTATCGTATTACACGGAAACACTGTTCGATTTCGGCCAAAATCATTATTCCTTACGAGGGCACGTGTGTGAGAGATCTATTTTAATGAACCTTAGGTTAATTATTTATTACTTAAGCGACTGAAAAGCTTTCGAAGCATATGGTTTCTTTAGTTCTACAATTTTTTTCGATTCGAAGATGAGGCGGACAACAAAATCCTTTCGAGTTTTACAGCGCGTTGATAATTTCTAATCTACAACATTTCACTTTATCTCTGAATTTTAATATTTTATTTTTGAAATATCATAACAATAGAAGTCCCTAAATCTTTGCATCAGCATTGGAACCCAGGCTCTCTGTATATCTTAGCAACGGTGGCCTGACTTCCATATTTAGAAACGCAAACAATGGAACGAGGGTATAGTATGGGGTGCACCTGCTACCGACAGTCGCTAGATTCCCGTATGCACAGCTGTTGGCAGTCGCTCTATACCACCTGATAGTTGATAAGGAGTGTTATCTGTGCGCCGATATTGCATATTGTGTTGAAAAAAAAAGCGGCTGGGAAAATCTCAGTGAATTGAGCGTCAAAACAGACTTCGTCGTTTTTTCGCGTTCTCTCATTTTGATCGCCAATTCGTTCTTCAGTTTCATTTGCAAACGAAAAGATTTCAATGAAAAACAAACCTGCAGCTTCCGCACGAAATTTAGATAAATTTGCGTTTTCGCTTTTCAAACAGGAAAATGAAAATTGAAATTACTTTTGTGTTGGTGACAGCTAGTTAAATATTAAGCAAGATATTCGGTGATAGTTTTCCGATGAGGATTATTTTTCCCACGGAAAATCTTTGCTGTTATCAACTAGTCGCGCTTTCTCTCAAAATTTTTCCGCTCCTACCGGCTATTTTTTCCTTCGTTTAATGGACCGTACGGCACGTGCTAAAATTTTTTTATAAACAATGCATTAAAAAATTTCAAGATATTTCAAACGTCAGCGTTATTCATTTATTCATAACATAAAGATCACGTGACCCACTCCATGACGTCACTAATTAATTGCCTCACCGGTGGCAGAGTTACTCGATGGGAGTCATACGAAAGCCCCTTTCTGGTGTAGCAAGAAGTCTGTAATGCCGGCTGTAACTTCAGGTATTTGCCAATATATTGCTTGTAGTCTATAACACTACAAAAAGCAAACGCATCTAGTTGTTTTTGATCGCCACGCGCGTTTCCGATACTGAAGTTTTCAAAGCGCCACCTTGAGTAGTGTAATGACGGAGTTCTTTTATATGGCGTCCGATTTTGCTTCGTCTTCTTTTGTTTTGTTTAGCTATGGATTAAGACGAGGACTCCAGAATACGCTTGGTTATCGTTCATAGCTCTTAAGATTTGTTTAAAAGGGAATTGAAACTTTTCGAAGACGTGAGTACATCGGGATGCAAATCAAATTTCTTTTTACGCTTGTGTTGCTTAGACGGAGCCATGAGTTTTTATTTATTTATGTTTTCGGTGAGAGGAGCGACACAGCGTTACCAACATTTGTTACAACGATTTATAATGCTTATCTCATAATGCAACGTATGTCCTGGAAACTCTTGTAATTTCTTATTTGAAATTTCTTATTCCTGTTTGCTGTAATCGTGATTTGCGCAAAGGTTCTCGCCCTACAAGCGCGCAAAACCTCGTTTTATAAATCCCTTGTGTCGCTACCTCAGTCGCGATATGATATTAAGCTATTTCGCTCGCCCGCTGTAACTTTTTTGTTGTAAACCCTGTTGGTCGTGACGCTCAATTTTAAGGAGAAAATTAAAACAATTTACTCATCTTATATATTCGTCCTATGTAATGAGAATTCAGTTACCTGGTTATGAGACGGTAACAGTATTTTGTGTCTTTCGATGGCCACAAGTTCCATGCTCGAAGTTTAACTCCGTGAATCACAGTATGTTTCTTAATAGATCTTTAGTAATTCTGGTTGTGTCATTAAAATCCTATCAAGAGAGTTATGCGTATTTCCAAGGTTATTCATGAAGACCTTATAATACTTTACTTCGTTTGTCTGTGCCTTTGAAGAAAAAATCGGTCATCTTCGTGACTCTACCATTGATGCGATCTTTTGTGTCTCTGAAATTTTGTTCGAGGCTAACGATAATTTAAGATTGAACTCGCTTGATAAACAAGGCGTTATAGAACTCGTTTATAATTAAGGATTTTCATAATAACTCTGAAATGTGAAATTAAAAGCGACAGATGAAGAATCAGAAAACCATTACCCAATGATTGTTTTTAGCTATATATCCGAGTGGCTTAATGCTAAGAATTGTGTTGTCAAGTTTGGACAAGAGTTCTTCTTTACCAATCGTTTGAATGCAAATTACTTTGTTTCCGAAACATTTTGAACATACGCATAAACTTAAGACCATACCAATATATGCTCTTATCCATTGAAGTTAAATGTTCAACCAAGCACAACTGTTGATTGTTCTCGGTCAATTGTAGTCTGTATTACTAACAACATGCATGTCAACTTAATGAGGTTGCATATTTTTTCACTCATTGACTGTTGGTTGAGTGGAATGTCGATCTTTGTCAGAATTATATATTGTATGTTTAATAGCTATCATGATTTGTTATTGCTCAATTCAGCAGGGAAACTGTTATGTCATATTTTGTTTTATGACGTATTGTTTTCATATTGTGTTTCATATCGCGACTATATTGTAATACAGGTGAACATTTTAAATGTATTGGATATCGTGAATTGGTCAACAAATTAAAAAAAAAAAAATGACAGAACAATAGAGGATTTAGAATTATTGACCAGTTTACAGCAATAAAGAGATGTAAATATTAAATACCTAGTCTGTTTGATGTGAAAATGGCTCAAGGAGTTTAATACATATTTTTTATTCCCAAGTTCTAATATTATTTTATCTTAGCAGTCTGAGTATAAGACCATTTAAGCCATCTAAATGGTACCTGACAACAATTTCCAAAAAACTTGGTAGGTTGTTAGAATATGTATCCTCTATAGAAAAAGTTAGTTTGTACACTATGATAGTATGCTATGTTTGGAATATCAATCTTTATTATTTGGAAAAAGTGATACAGTTTTTGAATGAATGTTTTGTGGTTCACACTGTTTATTTTTGGACCACAGAGTGAAAACTGTACAACAAGCCAATAAAAACTCAAAATAAGTACATTTTTGTTACCTTGACCAAGGGCAACTGTATGTTTTGGAGGCATGGTTGGTTTTGCACTGAATTGGTTAAGAATGTGGCTCAATTATTCTCAAGCAATCACAAAGCATAGTACTGTCAATCCGAACCGATGTAATCATGCATCATTTTGGTTACTCATGTAAAAATTCCTCTAAGAGTAAGCATCCCTTTTTAAAGGTGGACATGTACATGTAGCCTCTCCTTATGCTAATATGTGGTCAAAAGCAGACAGATCAAATAATGTTTGTTATGTTGTAGATTTAAGAGAGGCAAGCATGCCAGATTCACCAACGGACCCAGCAGCTCATCCTCCTCAGGGACCTCCAGTGTCATCACCAAATGCAAATCCTACTTCAGTTCCAGTTGTGGCTGATGTAAGGTCTCTTAATAATTCCACTTCACCTGCTGTCAATGGTGCACATACCAGCCCCACAGGCCCTGTGTCTCCTAGCAGTATAGGAAACAGTGTAACCCAGCTGCCTCCTGCCTGTGGTGCTCGACAACTTAGCAAGTTGAAGCGATTCCTGACAACTCTGCAACAGTTTGGTTCAGATATCTCTCCTGAAATTGGAGAAAGAGTGCGAGGACTTGTTATGAACCTTGTGGTGAGGAAATAATTTGTAACACATTTTGGTACTCCTGGGATGATAGGTGTTTGTGTTCAGAGACATGATGTTAACTTTTGGCCATTTTTATTTCAGAACTCAACAATATCCATAGAAGAATTTCATGCACAGCTTCAAGAAGCTACAAATTTTCCTCTCAGACCATTTGTTATACCATTTCTAAAGGTATGCTAAACTCTGTTTACATTAATTAAATCAGAGCATGTATAGCTTGGTATACTAGGGTAGACATTCATGCAGTTAGAGCTGAACTGAGTCATGGTGCTCCCTCTTGCCCAAGCTCTACTTTGTTTCCACAATTGTGGTGCATACATGTACCACAACTTTTTCATTGCCAAGAACTAAATATCAGTTCTGTGCATCATCTGCCTTAAATTTGTTATGATTTTAGCCTTGACAACATGGTGGTCAATCAAACAATATTGTTGAGATTTTAATCTTCACCTTTCAGCTTGAAATTTTGCTATTTGGTCTGTCCTTGATTAACATGGTTGATAATAATTTATGGTTGATTTTCATGAGGACTTTTACTCAGTTTAAGTGGTGGCATGTGAAAAGAAGGCAGTATTTTATTACTTTTTGCTTGGTAATTGGCTAATATTATTTCCTGTACTTAAAAGTTTGACATTTCTTTTGAAATGAGTATATTTTTGTTGATGGAACTCCTATTTCTTTTTTGGCATTGGGATCAAGAACATTTAGTTTCTGGTAAAATTGGTTTATAACATAGATTCCAAACTCAGTAATAAGTATAATGCTTAACTTATTTAGGAGTGTTTGTTACTACAAATAGCAAAGTGAATTTTTCAGTATGAAACTAAGGTTTGGATAGAGTGGCCTAGATAATGACTGTTTAATTTTTTGTGTGTATAATTTTGTTGACCCTAAGTTATACCTGTAAACTGAGGGCCTAGGAAAGAACTGAATGAAGGGGGTAAGTTTCTAAAGAAACTGTGGTGCTGTAGCAGTGGGAGAGTATAACAAGGTAGTGTGGTATTATCAACTGAGTTTATAATGTAAATTGGCCACTGTAAAGAGTTTCAAAGCTGATGTTTCAGAATTAGGTTAATTAGGTCAGAGCAAATGAGGAAGGACTAACACTCAAAAGGCCAGCTTTCTTTTTTACAGTGGCCAATTTATGTCAACAAATCAGTTGATAATACCAAATTACCGTATTTACTCACGCATAAGTCAACCTTTTATGACCAAAAAATCAGCCCAAAAAATCACCCTCAACTTATACACAAGTCATACACAAAGACCTGACACAAGCAATCCAAGAAATTAGCATAAAAATCGCCTGAAGTCCGTTAGGAAAACTGAGTTTGTAAAACCAGTTCTAATTGTATTTGAGTTTCGTCACTTTTTAGTGCATTCTTCCTCAACAAAAAAGTTTGAAGTAATAAATTTTAAGTGGCTTAACAAAAAGCTGCTGGAGCTGACTTCTATTGTGTCTTTGGACTGTAGGGCAGACATTTTTGCCTGCAGTTTTGCTGCTGTTAACAGTGCTGGACTTTAGTTCTCATTGAATGATTTCCCTGGCTTAGTGACCTGGTTGCATGGTTTTTTATGTTACGTGTGATCCTTTGAAACTTTTAAGTTTTCCTTTGGTCTAATTAATCTCCTTTCAAACTCAACATTAAGATGAAGGTTATTTCAATGCAAGAAGATTTCATTTCAATGTGATTCACAAAATATGATAAAATACTTCTCCAGTAAGTGCTTGTATATGCTTAAATTGTGGTGATATCAACAAGTGCTAATAATATCAACTTCACAGCACACAGTTACATTTTGCTCTGCATTTTTTTTAATTCCTCGTGTTTTCAATACATTCTCAGAAATAAGAGATTAACATGTTTGGTTAGAAATGATGAAAAATCCAATTTTTGACCTTGACAAAGTGTTGTTGACTTATACACAAGTTCGACTCATACACAAGTAAATAAGGTACCCCAGAATAGAACTGCCCCCATTCAGATATGTTGACTTATCAACCTATTTCTAAGGTATGATACTTATGGTATTTCCAGGCAAACCTACCCCTGTTACAAAGAGAACTGTTACAGTGTGCTCAGATGGCTAAGCAGACTCCACCACAATATCTCAGACAACATGAAGATATTTTAAATGAAAGAGAAACAACACCTCTGGATCCAGAGGAACTAAATCCATTAGAAATAAATGAAAATGGGAAACGGAAGGCTCCTTCAGATAGTATGAGGTAAAGCTATAACAAAAAAACAATTGTTTTCATCTCCTAACAATTATACTGGTTAAATATTTTCTTTGAGAATATTATGATTTACTATTGCAGCTCTTGGCTTTTATGGCTGTGAAAATGGACTGTGATTGTCCTTCCTCCTACAGCAGCATTGTAGAAATTAACTGATTAATAACATGAAAAATGATGCATGTTTGAGTGGCTGAAAACAAGTGCATTTTTCATGTAACATGAGTGTACAGTTGTTTTATGGAACAGGTAAGATTCCCTGGTTGCCATAGAGCAAAAGTAACATACTAAGGGGTCACTTGGCCCTGCCATGGCAGAGCCCTGAATTATGTCAGGGTGTACAATGGTACATGGAAGTAGAACTCTCAATAAGAGTACTAAATAAATCCCTGTCTTTTCAGACCTAAGGAAAATGGAGCACCTCCTGATTTGGCTATGGTGAGTTTGAGTGTTTCTTCCTTTTTTTCCTGGAATTTACATGCTTATTTAATGATCAATATAGACAAGTGAAGTAGGAGATTAATTTAATACCTACACTATGTTATGCATCTCATGACCATCACATTATGCTTGTTTGTGGTGTTATTTAGTTGCTGTTGCAGATGCTGTGTAAATTTTCAAATTAACACCTTTCCCTATTTGGTGACTACATTCTGTGGCTATCACAGTTTTGAAATTTTCGGTCTTTTTATTTCAGCAAATGATGGCAGAACTGGGGAAACCTATCCCAAAGAGGCCCTTTTTGGGTATGTTTATAAAACTGAATGTAGCTTGTATGTGATGACTTTTACCTCTTACACCTCAAAATGAATGCTTTTTTGGTTGTGATATCTCTGCTGAAGATATATATTTTAAACAGCTTTGTTTTGAATCAAGGAATTTTGACTTAGCTTTAAAATCAGGTAAACTGAATTTTATCTCAGTTATAGAACAAGAATCACTTTACATGGTTAATTGATACTGAGCCAGCTTTGTATTTTGTTGGGTAGGCAACAGCAGCAGTTTTAATAAACCAAATCAGTTAAGAATGGAAGACATCACAATACCACAAGGTAATATTTAAGAGATCTTGACTAATCGTGAATTTGAAATTGGATCAACTAATGATTCTCTAATTGACATTTTTTTAATCCTCATCACTTGCCTGTTTTACATGTATACTCTAGTGATATTGTCAGGGGAAATTCTGTCATTGATATTGTTAAGGGAAATTCTGTCATGGTCACTTATGGGAGTTAAAGGGTTAATGAAGTTCATGATTGATACTAAATCAATCAAATAAAGTTGAATTACAATATTTTGGAGACAGTATTTTGCCTTGTGTATTTGTTGTATTCTTGTTTCTGTTAAATCGATATTGTGAACAGCAAACATCCAGAAGTACATGCAAAGACAGTTGACAACTTAAACCCTTTCACCCCTATGAGTTACCAAAAGAAATGTCTTGTTATGATATCATAACTTTTTCAAACCATCAAGTGATGAGAAGAAAGGAAAGTATCAACTGAAGAAAATTGCTTACACTGAACACAAAATTTGTGGATCTAAAATTATGGAATATGAATGCCAGACAGTATGGAGAGGGAACAGGGAGATCTTGGTAGCAAGGGGTTGACTCCCTCTTATCTTTAGGGTGATGTTACCAATCATTAAAGCAAACAGACCATGTGATTATCTCAGAGTCTTCAGTGTTCTTCCTTACTGTTTGCTTTGATGTTTCAGTTATGTGTGATGGTATGATTAATCATTAGTTATTTCACAGCAGGCAGTTCACGTGATGGTGATCCCACTTTGCCAGATGCTCTGTTGGATAGCAAACATGAAGTAGTGGATGACTGGAAACATGTGGACACGGTAGGTTGAGTCTCCAAGGTTGCTAGAAGGTGTTTATTGGGCATTGGAGATTGAATTTGTCATCCATGCGCTGAATTGTTTTTTGTTCGAGACCCATAGAACATGCTCCTGTTACTTAAATGTATTCTCCTGAAACTAAATTTTTCAAGTTAATCCCTGGTTGTAGCAGGCATGGTAACCAAGTGGATTAGGACTAATTAATGCTTTCTATGCAAAGGGCAGTCACATTTCAACCCTTAACTCCCAAGATCTGATTGTTAATTCTCTCCTCTGGCTGGTAAACATTTCCTAGTAAATTAGTCAGGATAATTTTTTATTAGATAAAGAAAACGCCTTTGACCTGATAAGTATGAGTATTCTTATCACCTGTTTGCTGGATAATATATAGATATTATAGGGAGAAGTTACATGATAATCACCTCCGGGATTTGATGAGTGAAGGACATTTTTTATTATTACAGTGTATTATTTGTTGATTTTTTTAACAATTAAATATTTGTGGTACTTAGATGCTTCAGTGCATAATAGGAATGGTTGACAAGACAAAACGAGCTGTAGCAGTGCTTCAACAACGATGCACTCAGGACCGAGAAGAATTATTGGCCTGGGCACGAAAAACGGCCGAAGAAACAGAAGCGGAAGTTAAGAGGAGAGCAGGTGGGTGTAGAGCTTAATTCTTTTTTTATCATTTCGTGTGGACAAGCTAAGTCCAGTATGGTGTTAAGAAAACGCCTATTCTTCAATAGGCTGAAAATTTCATCTCTCGTTAAACCTTTATCTTTAACTCGTTTAGGGGAACTAATGGCTAAAACGCTAAAACAAACGGAGGAGCGCGTAGCAGAGGTCAAACGTCGGGCGGAAGAGGCCGTAAGTGACGTGAAGAGACAAGCTGTGGTGGAACTACAGAAAGCTGTCCGTGCTGCGGAAGAGAAAGCTAACGAGGCTGTGGCTAGTGCGCATGGCAAAATGGAGAAAGCCGTGCTAGAGGCGCGCCGACAGGCCACTGAAGACACCTTAGCCATGTCAAATCATCAGAGTGATTCAAGTGAGGTAGGGATATAATGCTATGCATTCTTGTTTTCTTTAACAAAGTTTTGTTGTGTTTGTGTCAATCTGCGTGCCCTCTTGTTAAGATGTCCACATTCTTATGGGGATATTGGTTGTTCTTCCCGTAGAGTTGTTGGAATTGCGGGCGAAAGGCCACGGAGACATGTAGTGGATGCAATGTGGCGAGGTACTGCGGCCCGTTCTGTCAGCACAAAGATTGGGAGAACCATCATCACGTCTGTGGACAGCAAGCTCAGGCCGCCGGCGAAGACAATCCCCAAGGAGGAGGTCCTCAGTCCGCGGGCTCTCCTAAGGATACCAACACCACTAGTCCCGCTGTCACCAGAATGACCACGCCCACTTCGTCATCCGACCCCATTTCATCCCTCAGTGATTATGTTATGAAAACCCCCTCTACGTAGGATTAACTAGTACGCGTTAAAGTAATACTGGCTTCGTGTATTGAGTCGCCAGAATAGAAGACTGAAATTTTCTCGAGGGAAGCCTTCCTCGTCAGTCTAGGGAACCTCCAATGGTTGAGAAATTGTGATTTTGATTTGCACATAATCTTTGTTGATTCCCTCGTGACTGTGTTGCTTTGCGATTAAAAGGTTTCGTATTAAGCAGGTAGAATAAGGCCAAGAATTTAGGCAATTTTATCGCTTAGTATTACGGGTATGTGGAGCCAGGAGATTCCAAGAATAAGGAGACTGCCTTTAACACAAATCAAAATGAGGTGCTGCTGGTATTTCACAAAACCATCTGCTAGAGAGAGTGAAAGAATCCTCTTCTTTCATGGAAGGGGAAGGTAGAGATGATAGAGATGGCAGAGACCCCAAAATAGCTATCAGCATCTCATGGCTAAATGAATCGTAAAAAATATCAGCTGCATGTGAGCGAAGACTTTTTTCTGGTTCCGTAAACTTTCTCGTAAATCTTTAATTTACACACAAACTCATTGCGTTGAAGCTTAAAGTAGAAAATTTAAGGTAAATTTGTTCCGACACTACAGGTAGCATTATAAGATTTTATGGTCTGCTTCAGGGAACAGTTTTTCTCGAGGGAAATATTTAAGAAACCAAAGAGTCCCTATCTTAAACTGTGTTTTGTTAGTGGTGTTAGTACACTTAAATGCCATCAAGTAGAAATCTTTGTTTTGTTTTGTTTTTTCGAAGTTGTTTCGTTCTTCCTTTTTTGAAAGGCAGAGCAAGGTGAACAGTCCTCGTCCATATATCGTTCGATTTCAATTGAGCACCAAATTACAAATGGAATGTTATTATGTACAGAAGCTCCCACCCCAATGTCGTTAATGTGTCAGAAGAAATTACAGCCTTGTTTAAAGCGTCTTTCTCAACGTAAATTTTTATCAATCGTTACTTCCTTGTGGGAAGCGTAAAGTTTTGATGAATTTTGTCCATTTTCAGTCGGTTAACAGGAATACCAACATGTAATACTTGTAAATATGAAATAAAGTGGACCTTGTCTATGTTGAATTGGCTTCTTTGCATCACTGCTTTGCCTTAAACCTATCACGACATGGCGATCACTTGCGTTTTCCCGCTCTTCAGGGAGGTTGTCTCTTTTTACTTTAAGCAAGTTAATGGACTCCTGAGTTAGGAGTTCCGATATATTCCTTGTAATATATTCCATAATTGTGATTGGCTGGTTTGATTATATACACTCCATCAACTAGGGAATGATTTCTATATTAACTAATTGTTAGAAGTAGCCCGCCATATGGTCATCCTTACGGTAAGAGTGAAAGGGTTAATGCTCCTTTTGAAGAGGCAGGTGTGAAATCCGCCCTCTCCTCCCCGTATTATTTTTGTCGGCTGAAACACCCAGTCTGAATAAACACTTTTCCTTTGAAAGTGGGGTCAAAAATTTGCGTAGCGCCCCTTTGACCGTCAGATGAAACTGAGAAGATTTCGCCTTACACGGTGTCATGCTACGCCCCGCACGAAGTTGACTCAAAATCCAGTATTCTGGGCATAACCCGAATGTATAATTGATCGAATGCTAGTTTCAGAATTAAAATACAGAGCCATAAAATATTGAATTCTTACTTTATTCTCGGCAACAGCCTTAAAAACCCGTACAAAGCAAGGACTAGAGTCGACAAAATAAATGGGAAGTAACGATGTCTAGGAAGTAAGTGTCGGAAACAGGATAACGAAGATAATTGACTTTTGAACTTTTCAACTCTTATTACCTGTGTTTAAAAGCTCTTGATTTATAACGGAAAAAATATAAATGCACAAATTGGACAAAATGTTGCCAAGGAACAGAACATGCGACGTAAAAATGCAAAGTACCGCAGGTAAGGGTGTGTAATAATATGCACGTATTGCATGCCCTCTTGTCACAGTTGCATAAATTACAGTTATTCATTTCTGCGCTAAAAGGTCTCCATCGAAGCGTAACCTTTGTAAATACACAGACGCCCATAACCACATGTCATTCAACACGATTATATTCAAAATGAACGACATTTAGTCGGAATTTCACAAAGGAAAGGAAATTGCTTCTGTTGGTCGATGGTTAACTCTACTGACGTAATACCTAGTTCCTCGAAAGACATTGATCATACACAATTCCTAACATCATCCGCTTCACTGATTTTTAAAAATTTCATCGAGAAGACGCGTCACAGCTCGTCCAAAAATGCTCTTCTCCCCTGATTCCCAATCACGTGCCTTGATCTCAAAATGATCTACAAATCCGTGCTCCTCACAGAACCGATCGAACGCAATTTCGCTCTTAAATGTTTCCCCACCCCCAATCCATTTTAGTGGCTCCTTTCCTACGTTGTCAGTGACAAGGACACATGGCGCACATGGGCAAAATTCTTTGACCTTTTCTCTCCACAATACAGCTTCATTCAGCGTCGACGGCCTTTGTGTTCCCCAGAAAACTAGTGCTCCGAGACAGTCCCTGAAGTAAATTTTTAACATGTTCGAAAAGCGTTCCTGTTCGGCAATTTCCCAGAGTTGTAGTTTGATAGAAATCGGTTTCTCTGTGTCGCCTCGTTGCCATCTGATTGTTTTCAAATAAAATTTTACTCCGATTAGTGGAGAACGATACGTTTGCACAGGAGGCCACACTTCGAGGTAATCATCTATGAAGACGCCTTTGGTACCCACTCCACCAGTGAAGCCACCGACACATACGATTTTTACGAGTAGTTCTTCTCCCTGGCGATCGCTTTCGATCGTAAGTTTTTCTAGTTCGACGTTCGAGTTAAACGTTTCCATTTCTACTTCCTTTCCTAGATTCTCCAATCGGGTGTCATTGACCTCGTCGGGCAATTCATAGTTGGATGCCATTGTATAGAAAAATCTTAGTTCAATGTCAACACCGAAAGAGTGAGGAAGAAAACTTCCGGTTTCGTACAGCTGTACTTGGATATCTTTATGGCTTTCTGAGGGTCTCTTTTCGGTTGCTATGCTTGTTCTCTTTGATCTCTGACGACGCCACTAGGATTTTAAACGCCTAACAACGGAATGATTGTCTGTCTTGGCTTTCAGTAGGCAGTAGCATCCCACTCATAAGGAAATAGTTGTGTAACGCCATAGTCATGTTTGGTAAGGTGACGCGATTAGACCTGGGGCGAGATTCATTCTCCTCGCAGCCATATCCGCGGAGAGGTGGGGATAGTTTCTGGATGGCTAATCGCGGAAGAGGGGTGGAGATGGGGTAATTATGGAACTGAATGTTATTTCTCTTTGGATTAGTTTTTTCTCCCTTAACTTATAATCTTATCCAGGCTCGCTCTTTCAATTTATGACCAAACAAACTCGATTTTTAAATTTAACTCTCAATGTCTTGTCACGCATTCAACCCAGTTCTACTGCGGTTGTTGTTCGTGGTGTCTCTATGGCGTCCCATTCTTGACCCGAGTTGCAGAAGGGATACTATGAAAGGTCACTTGGATGGGAAGAGATTCAGTCTATGATCTCTTTTGGAAGGTCATTATCGATTCTTATCGCATACGAATGAAAGGATTGGCACCCAGTAGAGGAAAATAATCGCAGAACTCACAAGCGGTTAGACGGTATCGCTGATCCCTTTTAAGGTATCGCTGATCCCGCGCGAGTATTCAGTATTTTCTTATCGAAAATTATGGCCGCTATATCTTTAATTTTAATGGCAGCCGAAGGCTGAGGAGAGAAAGAAATTTGTACCAAGGGGGCGGTCGTCGGTCAGAAATAAGCTGGGAAGGGGAGCCCCTCCCCCGCTTCTTACCCCCATTGTCCACTCTAACTCCAAATTAAACATGGCCGGTAGGATAAACGATCGCGAGCTTATAACGTTAGCTCGCATTAGTAAGACGCCTGAAGAGAATAGGTGGGGATGGTTCCGTGGTTTTAAGAGGGAGGGGGGGGGGGGGGGGGGGAGGAGGGGGTATTGGAAGACTTGGAAGAAATTTAACATTTATAGGCGGAGAATAAAAGTAAAAATCAAAGTTAGTCGTAAAACTGTTTTAAGAACTTTGTCCCTCCCGCTGCGTTGTAGTTTCCATTTTTGCTGATAGCCTAATGCGCTTTCGTTCGTTGAATGTCAAACCCATCAAATTTCTAAGCTCTCACTGTTTGGCATGCAATCTGTATCCGGGTTGATGTTATTTTCAAATCTTTTCCTCTTGTTTAATGTACAGCCTCCTGTCTCTGTACCGTACCACGAAAGGTGATCATTTAACAGAGAAGCGAACACTAGATTTTTAATCTAAGTGGTCGATTAATTCAATTAATAACTAAATTATTCCTGGATTATTTTTGCCAATGTTTTGATTGTCCCTAAGCTTCTTACTCAGGCCATCTCCTAAATATTCCCTACACAATTTTCACTCCCAGAAAGTCACCATTACAAAGGCGTCAACCCTGTCCGGCTCTCTCCCGTCCCATAGCATCCCCATTACCCCACCTATTAGTTTTAAAGATTTAAACTTTTCCCCGCGGTTCAAAATTTCGTCACTTGCTTCCTATCATTATTTGTTATGATTTTCAAATGACGCGAATTTATTCACAACTGGTTCTCCAAAAAGCCAGGTAAAGCGGCCAGACGCATTTGTCTACATGCTGTTAACAGTCCTTTTGTTTTTTTCGCTAGACCGGAAACTGTCACGTTCGTTTATCAAGCCATCCTTTAGTCGAGTTATACCGGTAGACGCGTGACCTTTTCGGAGCCCAGTACCTTCCACGGCCGCTTTTGTACTGCATGACAAAAAAGTGGAAGACAGGGAACATCCTCAGTCTATACCGAGCTGATGAAAAGGCAGACATGGCAATAAATATTATTTGCAAAAAAAATTGAATTGTATTCTGATTCGCGTGATCTCATTACGATGATTAATGGTTCATGGTTCATGGTGTACGCATTTCACACTAAAACGGTCAGTTGCATTACATCGAGGTCTCTTCCCCTGTTTGCTCGCTCTGAAAGATTTCCTTCATAAGGCAGTTCACAGCTTGTCCAAAAACGCTCTTTTCACCGGACACCCAATCGCGTGAAACGATCTCGAAATGACTCACAAGGCCGTGATTGTGGCAAAACTGATTCAATGCCAGTTCACTTTCAAATGTCTTGCCAGCCCCAATCCATTGTGATAGCTCTTTTCCTAAGTTATCAGTAACAAATACACATGGAACAGACGGACAAACCTCCATTACCATCTTCCTCCATTTTACAGCTTCATTCAGCGAAGAAGGCCTTAGTGTTTCCCAGAAAACCAGCGCTCCATGGTAGTCCTTAAAGAGAATCCTCCGTAGGCTTGATACACGTCCTAGTTCACCTATCTCCAAGATTCACAGGTTGATAAAGATCGGTTTCTCTACTTCATTTCTGAGCCATTTCATTCTCTTCAAATACTGATCCACGAAGAGAGCAGAGGGGCGAAGTCCTCGAACTGGAGGCGTTACTTGGAGGTAATCATTGATAAGAACACCCATATTTCCCACTCCGCCGATACATAGGATTTTCACGATTTTGTTTCCTAGTCGATCGCTTTCGATTTCGCGTTCTAAAAATTCTTCGTTCGTTGTAAATGTTTTCATCCCGATTTCTTTTCCCAGCCTCTTTAAACAGTTTTCGTTGCCCTCCTCTGGCAATTTATAGTTCGAAGCTACACTGGACAGAGAGTTTGACTGCAGCATATTCACAGTTCAGAAACGACACTTCCGGTTTCTTCGATTCTGAGACCGCCGTGTTTTCTCAGGGCTTCACAGAAGTAACTCAGCTTAGAGCGGTTTCCCCTTGAACACCAGCTGAAGATTGATCGCTTATGGTAAAGAACATTGTTTTTTGGATGAATGAGCGAGGATAGTCTAAATATTCCAATGAAAGTTGCAGTTAGAAACCTGAACGTCTCTGGTTACCTCTGTTTGTTTTGTCGGAAGGGTTGGAGAGGGGGGTAGGGATTATTACCAACTGGGAGTAAAAGTGATCGAGAAGTGAATAGGGGTTAATTTACAGAATACATCGCCTGTTACGGCACGGCTACAAAAATTCCTCTAGTATGACTGTTTTTGTTTCCATTCTTTATTTTCTCAGCTCCTCTATCTAGTGGCTTGCTAATCAAGCAGCGGTAAATCCCCATAGAGCAAATTATATTGCAAACTCTACGAAATTGTGAAATCAACGCTCGCGGCTATTAATTTCTCCCGTTGCTCATTTTGAGCACCCCTTTCCAATGCATTCTAACTTCAAATGGTCTTGATTATTTGACTCGTTTCATTGTTCGACATAATTAGAATTATTTTGCTAAGTTGCGTGACAACACCTGGAACATGTTCAAGCTTGATCTCCTACCGGAAACCGTTCTTTGGAAGAAACGTTGCGTGACATTCCGAGGAAACCGGTATTTGCGAGTTACGTGACAAAATAGCGTAAAATCACCAATTAGTAAATTGTAACGATATCTACAAACAAACTTCTTATGCTCAATTCTTGATGCATAGTCATTTAACACGTAACTTTGCAGTTGAGTCTGGTACACGTTTAATTAACAGTCTCTTTCGTAGCC